AGTTTGGAATCTTCTTGAATTATGGAACATCCCGAAAATTAGTTCCGAGTCATACCCGTTTTGGACAATTATGACAGAAGTGAAAAGGAAGTGAAGCTAATTTGTTGTCATTTTGTCGAAACGAAATCAGAATGGGCTCCCTGAAGTAGCCGCTAACAAGCATAATGGCACCGTTTCTGACAAATGACAAATTGGCTGCTGTGTAATAAGTATACATACGTTTAATACAAATGGATTTCTTCGGCTAACTTTGAATTCGGTCATGTAATTAATTATTGTCTAGCAACCTTTATGCCATACGCATTAATATCAGGTCAACATGTCTGCAATGAAACATCTTTTCAGTCATATGTCTTTGTTATCACTGGGGTGAGTATTGTTTACTTTTCGTCCATTAGAATACCAACCACATTGTATTGACAAATGAGGGACTGGTGGATTTTGTACTTGATTACATTTTTCTCTTTTAATTTTTTACATTATCAAAATTCTTGAACGTCTATAAGTTGTTAGATAATTGAATTTATCATTGGTTCTACATCACGTTGAAGAACGTATTCAGACCTCTTTGCTGAAATGTTACTAGCCAGAACGCTCATCCGAAATATAAGTGATAAACTTGGTAATATTTCAGAAAACATTCCGAGGGTTCTAAGCATGAAGGTGTTCATGATCAGTCTGTTGTTGGTTATGTGGCACATGGTCTGATTCTCCTAGTACTTTTCTGGTGTCTCCATGTAAATCTTTCTTTTGTTCATAATTTGCCTTTGTTTTATTGAATTTGAGTTTGGATTATGATTATGTTGACATGTTTTTTTTCTTGTTTTTTTCCCCCTGAAATTCTGATTTCTAATATTGTATCAATGTAAACAACATTATATTATAACATTAATGAACATTGTTAAATGGGAATAACTAAGATATAATGATCAATTTCGTCTAGGTACATTGATTTTTCCTGTGACTTGTATGTCCGCATGAACTGTAAAATCTTAAATTTCGTGTTTTTAAAAAAACATATGCTTTTTTGTTGGCACTTAATTTAGTGGATAAGTCTTGATCAAATTCACTATAATCTATTGCAACTTTTATCTATCTATCATTACGTATCCATATAAATTCGTGGATTATGAGTACCAACAATTCAATAAAAATGTGCCCAACGAAATTTTAATGATTTCATATCATATGTACAAAATTTATGTATGAACAGTTGATACCGATTTGAAATACATCAGTGACGTTTCGGTGACTACACTCTGCCAACTTTATCGAAATGATGAATTCACCGAGACGTCACTCCTAAAACAAACGAAAAAGATACACAGACTTTGTAAATGGGAGTTTACAACCTTTAAGATTATCAAGCTTTTCCGCCTACACTTTTCTATATCAGGTTTCTATTCTTTTACTGAAATAATCGATAGATTTCCAAAACTTATCTAAATTGAATATGAATTCAGCATCTATACCGTGTCATTTAAAACAATAACCCTAAACCAATAATACATAGGACTCATTTGCGTACCCGTGTTTTTGAGAAAAAACTGATTTTATAAAGCGTGCGGTAAAGCTAACAATGCATTTTAAAGTTAATCGGTGTGATAAGCATACTTATGTGTTTACATTTTTAAAATGTTGTGCCAATGTAATTCTGTAGAAATTGTGAAGTGGCAGAGACAGAGCTCCAATCCCGTAATGATTATACTGAATAACTACATTTAAATGCATATTAGTTCAAGACTTGGTTTAACGATATAAAAACTTTTGTATGTGAAATGTTTACGACGATTTAAAGATGTCAAGTACAGCATTTAAAATACATGTAAGCGTTCTGTCTGATATTTTCAAACTAGACCGCTTCTAAATTTTTTTTTTGTCTTCGTTTTGCTAGAATGTTTCCCTGGTTGTATGATTGTATGAAATGAAAAAAAAAAAAAAAAACAGATGTTTGTTGATACATTAACGTTTTAGAGCATATAGAAAAAAAGAGTAAATCTTTCTGTTGGTCCTATATATCTTTCTTTGTTGATTTTGCCTGGTAAGCCTAAACAGCTGTTAGACGAATAAGGTTCGGAGTAGAAACATTGATTGTGTAGATGTCTGGTGGTTATTTAACAAGGTATCGTTTTCTAGCTAGTTACTGGACTAATGATGACACTATGACAGCCTCAAGACACCGTCACTTCTCAAATAACACAATATCCCTCAAATCAAATTCTCACTGATTAACTTTTCGCCTTCAAAACTAGCTGCTAGTATCTTGGTTCAAAAACATCCTCATATAAATGCTATTTGTTGAAAATGCACAATTTTACAAAAAATAAATTTGCGAGACTTGGATCTGAAAGCTTAAAATTTACAAAAAAGGGCAACAAATGATTAGATAAATAGCTTTTGATTCGTTCATTTATATAAATAAAAAGGGTTGACAATGCTTTATAAGACATGGAAAGTACATAAATAGTATATTGAGATGCAGATCATATGATATTGTCGTGACGATATCTCGTAGAGTGTCATGCACGTTGTTGATCGGTACAGCCGAACTTAGAAGTTCAAATATTCGATAAATTGACCGACCGTTTTTCCTTTGCCACCTTTGCTTCCCGAAATCATGGTATTTTTCAAGACATATGAACGTTAAATCCATTGTTTTCTCATAAATAATTTCTGTAGTTTATCCAAATCGTTTCAGGAAAGATGATTTTTCTCTCTCTAAAGCCCAAGTCTATCACCATATCATAGAAATCACGTTCCTGATTCGGCTTAACATTCTCATAGCTTTTAAACAACATAACGTAACATGACTTCGTGATAGAAAATTAATAGTTTTTAATATATAAATGCCACAATTTGAATAAAACTCTCGCTACTTTTAAAGTCTGGTTAGCTTCACGGTCTGATTAACCTTAGTTTACATCACGTGTTGAATTCAATTTCACAGAAATGTGTTTTGAACATGTTGAGAAAGTTCAATATGTTATATATTAAAGTTATGGCAAACAAAAATCGGAGAGAGTTAGTTATGGTGTGGATTGTGGGGAAGATTAAAACAAAACGGTCGTGGAATGTTAGTTGTGTCGTGAATTGTGAGGTAGATTCAAGAAAAAGTCATGGAGAGTTATTTTGGTCGTGAATTGTGCGGTAAATTTAGGAAAACGTCATGGAGAGTTAGTTAAATTGTGAATTGTGGGGAAGATTTAACTAAAAAGCTGAGGAGAATATATTAAGTATCTCGGAATTGAGTTATTATATATCTTAATATTACAAAGTTTCAATATTCAATTTAACTTTCAGCGCATTTGAAACTCTTTTAACGTTCAAAAAATCTTCACAAAATTCTGGACTCTTCACTCTTATCATGCAAACTGACCTATTTTGTCGCCTTGCGAGGTTAGAATAATTTCTTGATTAAAGAATATTGTTCTAGAAAAAAAGCTTCAGGGAGATACCAATATTTCTATAGTTAAGGTCGTTGGGAATGCGATAATTCTCATTGAAGGGATTTGGCTACGATTTTTCATATTTTTTATCTATGTCTAGGCGAGGTTAGAATAATGTCTCGTTTCAATGAAATTGTTCTAGAAAATAAGCTTCAGTGATGAAAGGAGATTTTTTTATAGTTAATGTCATTGGGAAGGAGGTGATCCTAATTGAAGGGTAATTACCACGAAAATCGTCTGCGGGCACGTCACCCGTTTGTACGTCTGCCCCTTACAGCTGCTCGTCGCCAGCGTCGTATAACTTGGGTTGCTCTGGCCCAACTGAGAGCAGCCCTTTGGAAGAATTTGGTCAACATGCCAATGAGGAGGATACACTCATTCATGAACATCTTGCCTGTAAGAATAAGGGCTGTGGAGAGAGCGAATGGGGGACATATCCGGTATTGACTATCCAGCGCCAGCTATTGGTCAATTCCGATTTCAGATTACAGAGTTTTTTTTCCTTTCCTTTCAATTACTCCTTAATCTCTTACCAAGTACAAATCGTTGTTTTTTTCCAGTTTGTTCTTTATGGATTAATCTTCATTCTTACTTAAAAATATTGAACATTATACTCGACGTCCTGTCGAAAATCATCATCAAAACTTACCCCTTGCGTTTCTTTATCCCTCGAGTATACATCTATCCACGAAATCCAGAGTATGGTTTTATAGTTTATTTTATCCTGTTAATATATATATATATAAATAAAAATGATTTTTGACAAAAGAAGAAAGACGTTACACATATATATATGTATATAATATTGTGTAAGTAGCTTGAAAACCTTTAATTAACTATTTTAATAAATTTAACATTTTTTACAGGGACACTCCTCCTGGCTGATAAGACGCAATCCCAAAGAGTTTTTACGGGGACATTTAAATGCATATGTGCTATGATGGAGAGATAGTGTGTGTTTGTTTAGAGGGTAAACAAAAGTTTTCAGCGGTGACCAGGCTAGTTTGTGTAACTGACCCATGGTAATAATCGATTAGGAAGGTGTTTATCCCTTTTGATCCACCCATGCTGGTATGTGTTCCTAATCAGGAACGACGTTTGATTTTACCTGGACCTTTCACCTGTCTGTTCCACCCAGTGGTACTTCTTACGTGAATTTTCGTATATCTTTTTGTCGAAGCCGAAGAGGAATCATACAGCTACCTGGATTTTTTACACGACTCTCTGTTACTACTGTGCTGTTTAACAGTAGAAAAGTTACAGGTGTTTGTTTACAAAGGACATGATCGGGACATCATTGACGTTTAAGCAAGGGTTAACCTAATTTCTGCCGATACCGACATTCCCAGGAAGGCAAGATATACTTGGATAGCGATCATATATTACATCATTATATTCTCATCCAGTACCAAATACTGATTCTAAGCCTCAAGCAAGCCCGGACCAAAGTTCTTCAAGACAAATATTCAGACATTCATCGACTCCATTCTTTTCACGAAAATGTCAGAACATGTGGTATTTAGATATTTGGGGACGGATTGGACGATCGGAGTAATGATACTGTGCTTTATATTATCGCCAGTCAACTCGTCCACATCCACCAACTTTCTGAATGACGGTATATGTAATCCAACAAACACAGTCACATGCCCGTGTTCGCGTCTCACAAATGACAGATTGATGGTCAACTGTAGTTCAAAGGGATTCAGTGAGGTACCCTCAGGCTTCCAGAACGCCTCAGTGCTGTAAGTATGACCCCTATACTCTAACCCCTGTCAGAAATTCAGTTGATGCGAAAACATTTTGTTTTCCTAGAAAAGAAACCCTTACAAGATTTCATAACCAGATTGAATTTATTTTCATTTTGCTCTAATTAACTCTAATTGAACTCACATCTGTTTTACTTGCGTATTTCTTTATTGATTTATTCGTTAGTTACTACTATTTTTTTCCCTTACATTAGTTCCGTCATTTCACATCCGAACTAGAAACCAGTTTCCAACGCAACTGACAGCATGATGTATCGCACGAAGATATGATTGAAACGCTCTCAAGCTATGTGAACAAATACCCATATCATTACATAAATCACACTTTAAAATATAGCAAATAACACAATAGAGCTTGAATTTGTGTATGTCTCTTTCTCACCACATGCCTATATCTGATGTAGCAATATCATTATCATCATATTTTGTAACATTCAGTTCATAAAATTCATATCTGAATGGTTGAATGTTAAATATATGTTGTTGCATATCCAAATTACACTGCTTCATTGTTTCCAATATATCAGCGGTCTGAGGCTTGCAGTTTTACTTAAAAAAGAATTGCAAAGCTCAATAATATTCTATCCAGATTTCATGACCAGGTTTTAAATTTGGACCAATCAAATGTTAGCACATTATCTCCTGATGGCACGCTAGTGCTATCATAAATTAATAACTGTATTATATAATATAAAATAAATAATAAATTAGGGTATCCACAATCATTGCTACATCAACAACACATTAAAAATTAAAAGAGCTAAAATAACATTACTGCTAATATATTACATTTTAACTTATCATAACAAAAATAAATTACAAAACTTTGATTTCATAAGTATTTTATCATTCGACGATGTCTGTGCATGTAGTATCTTGTCGTACTGTTAAAAGAATATTTCAAGAGTTGTATTATTTACGAAAAAAATCGATTTATACTGAAAATGAAATGAATACTTTTTGCTATAGCTTTAAGCATAACCGGAAAATGTTAAACACTATTTACCGTAATCTGAAATAGTGGACAGCATGATTGCAATAACAATGAGATAAAGAGCCCGTACCATCATCCTACTTTTCAAAGTTAACAACAACCCGACCAGGATCGGACCCGACATGTTGATTTGTCATGAGAGGAGGTACAGAATCGATAATCTTGTTTAGCGAATGCTCATCTCGAAGTTGAATGAAATGTCGCGGGCGATATCAGGAAATTAAGAAATAGTTCGATATAAAAGAATTAAAAATCCAGAATACGATCAAACGGTTACAACAGATTTGCTTTAATGAAATTGAATTCAATAAATAAAGAATGCAAAAAGCAAACAAACAAAATAAAGAGGATTTCGATATCTGTTATCAGATTACATGCTCCTTCATCCCCTTATTTCCGTTTCATTTATTTCTATGTGAAATTTGTGTAATGGAGGAAGCTTGATAATGTTGTCTATTGTTTTAATATTGCGAGAAGAAGTTTGCATTGAGACATCACTCCTGAAGGTTTATCGTTCTAATCCTCGTTTATAAAAAGGAAAACGCCATATCAACGGTTGGCCTTTTTGTCTTCACTTACCTTGGTCATCTCGCTTGCACTGTGGGTGCCCGCGTTCTATATTCTGTGTTTCCGATTGCCTCCCTGCTCCAATTACTCTTACTTATCTTTCACGGTTCGGGTAACACTTACAAAAAATTATCGAACGAGATAGAATTTAGATTTTTAAGATTTTGATTAAAACCCTAAAACATAAACAAACCTTATATATTTCTGTGTCCTACATGTCCGGTTTTTGTTGTGGAATCATAATAATAAGTAGTGGGAGAAAGACACAAATCATAGTAATAAGGTGGGGTATAAATTCGTAAAAACATAAAATTAGCGATGGTCTTCATGAAGAGTCCTCACCAGATAGCTTCCCCTTTACGTTCAATTAATCAACTTTATATTCTTGTTAAGTGAACCTTTTGGATTTGATATTGAAACCTTAAGAGAAACGGCGTTAGAATCCTACTTTTCGCACATGAAAAGTTCCGCAAGTGCAGAATTTTATTTAAAAAAAAAAAAGAAAATAAAAATATTATTGCTTAACATCGATGTGACCAGAGTATCACAAACATAATACTTACATATTTTTTTTTATTTATTGAGAAAACAAAAGCGAAAAAAGCTGTCAGCTTATATTGATCATTCTTGTCGGTCCAGAAGGGAACACGCGATGTGTCTTTAAAGAACCCCGGACGTAACGGTGAAAGACGAGTGAATTACCACTGCGACACCCGACCACCCAACATGATGTGGATACGATTTTAAGAGAAAGATAATGTAGACATTTAGTTGTATAATTGAATATAATCATTTCTAAATGTTTTTTCTTCAATACTGAATTCTTCCAATTCTGAAATAGCATTACAAAACAAGAAAATACCGTCAAAATAATGATAATCCGAATTTTAATTTTAATAAAACTCGAGCAAAATATCAACAAAAGAAAGATTTCCATGGAGACACGTGAAAGTACGAAGAATCACATTTTATTTTATGTAGGGGTTCATTTATAATTTCAGGATCACAGATTTTATTTTGTAAGAAACTAGACTCAACATGATCACCCCAAGTCACCTGGTTTATGTACATACATGATGATTAGGTCTGAACGACGAACAGGTGGGCTTATCAGCCAGGTAGCGACAAGGAATACATACATGTACATAAATAGGTTGATGGGTGTGCAATATCTACGTCGAACAGAGTACATGTCTCAATTTTATAAGACATCCCTTACCTTCTGTGCCTATATTGATATCTGTAAATCCAATCTCTCACATTTGGCACGTCGGCATTTTGCATTGTAAATGCCTTTTTATGTACATTTGGTGATAATTGTAGAATAGAAGTTCTACTAATACAACTAGTAGAAAATAAAAGATGTAGCGTTTTGTCATCAGACAGATCAACAGCGCGAAGTGTTTAAGCATTGACATGTGAGAAGATAAGAAACAAAAATAAATTTTGCAACTGTACCATTAAGCTGTTTACTCTTAGTTAAGCTGAGTTAAATACAGTCCATTGCTACCATCTTGTCTATGTTTTTTAAATGTTATATTTTATCTCATTATACAATTTTCTACCTTGGTCTTCACAGGATGATAATAAAATAATGTCGATTCCATACCATCTTGTACATACCATACGTCAGTGCTTATTCGATTTACGCTGGTCATTCTTCTGATGAAGCTGACCATTATTCTAGTGACATGACCAACCGTAGTTGGTAATGTTATTATTCCCACTTTTATAGCATTTTCCAAATAGGTCATACCTCTGCAACATGACCTTAATATCAGGAATACATTTCAGTATTGATCACTTTGCAATATTTTTCATATTATTGACATTTGCCGAATGGTAACTTTGCGTTAAGGACAAGAGCTGCTAGTCAATGTCATGTGGTTTCAACCATCGGTGAAAGATGACACAGTTTTGATCAAATGGTTCGGTTTAAATTGTTGTGTTTTGTTGTTTTTTAGGCTGTTGAAAAACAATATCATTACATGGTTGAACGCAGGAAACTTCAAGGGTCTTCATTACCTAGAAACATTGTAAGTATACCCTTAACATCTTCGTTTGTGAATAAGGTATATAGTGATTTTACGACTGAGTCTTCTGGCAGCAACATACCGTATATATGTTATCATAAGAATAACTGGGCAGTGGTGATTTCCTGCACTTCATTGGCATTAAATTAAAGACAATAATTATCGAAGTATAAGTATATTTTCTGTCTGAATGAAGGTATGTTAAAATATTTACATATAGATATCCTTCATCTCCACATAAATACTTTTGTTTACCTTGTAAAAATTCTTTTTGATGTATGGAAGACTAAGTAAATATAATACACCAACCTGATATATTCCCCCTTCTAATGCAAATTATTCATGAAGTGGAAAAGCAAACCATTATACTAGCATTTTGTCTTCAACATTGCGACACCGTTTTTATTCTCATTCTGCTCCTTGTACTTGCTGTTAAGGTGAAGTAAGATTTCCGTTCCTTTAACACAGTCTGTACATTTCTCCGTTTGAGAGCGATAGGAATATTGTTCGGAAAAAAATGCTAGATGATAAAATCAAATATTAACTAGAAACATAAATGAAACCAAGTGTTTCAGAAAGGTAAGCGTCTTCTGTTTTATCGAAGACAACCGATATATGAGGCTCGGTTACTCCAAGGATAGTCACATTCTTTAATGAGTACAAGGTTGATAACAACGAAACCAGCAATCGTCGAAGACATCTAGCTTAAAACCAAGAATCTTGTCAGCAGAAAACATTACTTTTGTATCTATATGAAAACGGCGTTACTGTGTTCATTTTAAATGCAAGGGATCATCATACGAACAGAGAAACAGTGCCTTCCTGTTGTATCTTCCTGTTATATCAATTGTGCCATACATTATATGATAGGGTTTTGTTATCACAGCTTGATAAGTTTTGTCATGAAACAGAGAATGATGTATCAAATTTATGCGTCACAGAGTGGAGGTGATATTTAGTTCGGTGCTCATTTCCTCTAGTTTCCACACGTTTTGCGTAAATGTGTGGGATTTCCGGCTCGTTTTACAGACCTATTAAGAGGGAAAATTCGAATTTATCTATCTGGATTACTTCAAATGGTATGTTATTTTTATTATTAAAAATCCATTCTCTTTCAGGCATATCAGTGACAACAGAATCAAAACCATAGCGACTGGAACATTTGATTATCTTTACAGTCTGCGAACCATGTAGGTACAAAACTGCATTTAAAGCCAAAGTTGTTTCTAAGGGTTCATAACTTGACAGTCACAATTGACTGCAAATTACTTAGATTTCGCGAAACTTATTTCCGTAAGAGCTGATCTAGAAATGACTTTAGATTCATGGACATGGACCGGCATCCGAATCAGCATGGATGCCACCCAGAGTAACTTTCGTACCAATAATAGCGGGAGGTTTGAATCCGCGGATTGACTCTCCTCGCGTATTAGCGGTAACATAAAACCTATGCGAAATACAAGTGATTTACAGTATTGAAGTTTAATTTTACTGTTGATCGAAACGTTTGCTGTTGTACAAGAAAATGATATCTGAAGGGTCTTTTTTCGATAACGAAAAGCAGAATTCTTCAAATTTATAAAAGAAAACGTCTTTTTTAAAAGATATGTTTCTTTTTCTCTTTTTTTCGTGGCTGATATCCTTCGTAAAGGATTGCATTATATTATTATTATTGATTGTCATTTATTTTTGTTTTGTTTGTGTTTGCTAGAAACTTACAAAACAACCTTTTAACCCGGATCGAATCTACCACGTTCCAAAACTTGCCTAACCTTCGAATACTGTAAGTATTAAAAATAGAAACGGAAGCTTAACTCCTTGCTGAAATGTCTTCAGACAAATTTAAAGCCATCATATCACAACAAGCATCAAGAAACAGGTTATTATGAAGTTACAGATTTAAAAGAAAAGAAGAAAAAAAGTCTTCATAAACTTGTAACTTTCGGAAATCTGGTGTTGAAAATGTACCCGTCATCCGGGAGTCTTTCTCGAAAATGATGACTTTGTGGACAAATCTCTTTATGTGGAACAAACTGCGATATGTTAAAAGTAATTGTTTGGAGGGCAGAGTTATTATTATCGAGAATTAGGGAAATTGCTTACCACGCTTATCATACAGCTCTATGGAGAGATGTCCCCATGGCTGTATTGAAGATAACGATGGACGTACACATTGTTAAAAAAGAATCTAGAATCTGCGTTGTTTCTTAATTTTTATATTTATAGAATAAATACGACGAACATGGCCATTCTTAAGTGATTTACTACTCATGATACGGCTAAGTCATTGACTATCTTATTCTAACTCATAATATCCCCTTAAAACAAATTGAAACATTGATATAATACTGTTTGCGTGATTTGGGCGAAGTACTTATCACTAATAAATAAAATGATATGAAATGTCTTCGTTGATATAAATTACATATCTTTGTGTATTCTGTAATAACCCCTAACATATATGGATTTACACTCTCACTCAACGCGTGAAAAACGATTCATAAGCAGACTGGGCCGTTTTTAATAAGTCTGTTGCTGGTTAAAATAATTTTATTTCTGCAACTTATTTATTGTCGTTTACATTTTGGATACATTCATGTGTTGCAACGGTGTGTATAAGATAGGCACAACTGATCACTAGGTTCCAAATTCTGTTATTATATAGAAAATTTCAAACTACAGATGACACCATTGCCTTTGAAGACAAAAAAACTATCATGGTCTGCATAAAGCAAAATAAAATCATATTTCACTGATTGCTGGCCATGCATTTATTCTTTCAGGGATCTTACGAACAACCAGATCGGCAGAGTAATAGGCGACGCCTTCGTGACGCTCACAAATCTGAAACAGGTGTAAGTACTGACGTCATAACAACCTTTATAGACAACCGTGTACGAATACCATTTTCGTCTTTCTCGCGATAGAGGCTTACGATTAAAAAAATATTCATGTGCAATAAACCTATATACGAACTGTTTCATTGATAAAGTGTACACATAAGTAACTGACAACGAATGTTACAACTCGTACCTTTTTCTTATGGGGTGTTGTTCTTGATATATAACTATTCGAAGAGTCAAAGAAAGGACTTTAATTACCATTATTCTACCACTTGACAGCGCATTTACCGGAAATGGTCTCATTTGTGATTGTGAAATCCGGAAGTTTTCACAATGGTACGGAATCATGGGAACGTACGACGTTGCGGTACTTGATGCGCATTGTGCTGACAAAAATAATCTCCCCATCCAGGATGTGACCGACTTCGGTGTATGTACAGGTATGAATGTAACAATTACAGCTTGCATAAACTACTTCTGCGATTGATTTAGGGTTACTTTCCGTGAATAGTTTTAAATACAGTTGCACAAGGCATCCACCATGGTAAGCTCTTGAAGTAATCAGAACTTAACGGCGAATCGAATTTGCATCTGGACATTAAACGACAGTTGTATTGTAAATTGCACGTTCATTCTTAAATGAGGACCAGCCCTATAGTTTTTTAAATTTTGAAATATTCTATGTATCTATCGTTACGAAATATCCGTCCCCAGTTCACTGGTAGTATCTAATGATGTTTTGCTAGAATTTGATAACAACAATTCATTTGACCTGACTTAACGCAAAATCAAAGCATATCTTACATTTAGGTTAGTGCTGAACTATTTTCGATAAGCTGGTAAAATTACGGTTGTAGTTGCTAGGTAGCATATATCCTTAACTGTTGTTTCAGTAACTTTTGAATACAACTGGATATCTATTATGCATTTCAAATACATTTCAATATTTGAATGCTTACAAATATTGGCTATGATTCAGAAACTGTATCATGTGGTGAGGGTTATCCATCTGATATTCAATGTATGATTTCAATGTATGATTTTAAGCAAGCAATGAAAATTTATCAAATATAGCACCAAAATATAGGTTCCACTTTGCTTTTTGAATAAGCATTGCTACTGAAAGACAGGGATACATAAGATATGTATCAGCACTTCGCAGTACGATTTAGATTACCACACAAACAAAACATGTACAGATGGAGATATGATACATTGAAATCGAACGAGGGAAAACATTTGATTTCACTTTAAAGGCAACGCTTTCTCTCTCGTTGTAGGACAAGATCTCTTTGGTCAGGATATATCTTGTGAGTTCTGTGAACAGAAAAAGAGTGAGCGGCTGTGTGAATCTCCTGTAGCAATGGAAGCGGGTTGTCAAAGTTCGGATCAAGTAAGTATAGTTTAAATTATTATTAAGCTTAGACAAACATTTATTTTATGCCGGATGTGTAAATGCCAAATTGGAATTAATAAATATCAGGATTAACCCATCTTATTGGTTATTTCTATGAAGATAGAGATTGAAATGTTTAAATTGCTAACATTCTAACGGCCCTCTTGTTGCAAGAGATATACAGATATCACACTGGATTTTAACGTTGCGTGGACACAGTATTGTTCCTCGATATTTTACACAATAACATTTTTTCGCCTTATAACTAGCAGGAGTTGGACATTTACATACATATATGTTTATATGTGGCACTGATTTTTTTCTCTGCGATCACATATATTCGCAGTCGCTACCGCAAACCACGTACCTAGAAAGCCTTGATTAAGAGTTCCTGAGGTTATATCCAATGGACATGCCATTAAATGATTGGTTGCTTTAAAACATTAAGAAATATTGATATATCCAAAACTAAAATCGATTGACTACTTCAGGTATAGCTGTTGTGATGGGCATTTCGATAAATATAGCGTGGCATAAAAGTTAAACAATGTGAGACAAGAAAGAGGCAACATCATTTCCATTCTTTTGCCAATGGCCTGCTTGAAACTGTTTCAAGGAAAACTATATTTGTGAATTATTTTACATCAAAGATATACATTCCGTTCCTCCTCGGTAAACTGTTATCAGTTTCGTTGAAAAAGTGACTACTGACTAGCGTTGCTAAAGTTAGCTTGAATTTTGACGTAGGCGTTTCTAGGTTCTGTGTGCACTATATTGCGGTAAAAAGAGTGAGAAATTGAGAAAATATCTGATACATTTTACTCTATATAATAATAATATATGTAAAGTTATCATATCAAAAGTGCGTTTCAATACTGACTGTAAAAGTTTCTTTTCACGCTGTTTAAAGTCCTTGCAACAGTCAAAGTGATATCAACATTGGTATGAACCAGAGACGTATATATCACATATGTTATATATGTCTCTGTATAAACGAAGGAGATTGCCGTTTAAAATAATAAAAATTGACAAAAAAACAAACAAAAAAAAAAAAAAAATAAAAATAAAAAGAATGCATATTCTTTTTGACCATGACAGCAGTTATTCTCCATGTTGAATAATTTCCTAATATGTTCCTGTATCCTCTTGACAGCCGTATATGCTGTTCATGGAATATCTGCGAAAACAAATGAACTCATTAGCACTATTTCTGCCAACTTACTGTCGATTTCAATTCATAGTGACCGCATTTTTCAAATCTTAAAAAATTATACTTCGAACATCCATTTTGTATTATATATATAGTAGAATCATTCCTTTAATTAACAAAGAGTGACTTAATATAAAACGAGTACCGTGAATGTACATACTATGTAAGACATCATGTTTTGAAAAGTCAGGCGTGTCTGATGCTCTTTAGTTTGCTTGGTGGTTCAGTTGTTATTTACTTAGTTCTTATTTGACTAGTTAACTTCCTCGGTTGTCCAAAGTTTACATGGCGGGTGTCATTGATGAAGTAGAGAAAGCTTACCCTTCTTGTATATATGATCTTATTCTCCTTGTACTTTTTTCAGAAATGTTCATGAATATGTTACTTTTGTGCATATTTTGCACTAGTTTTCTTTAATTTTATTTTCGATTATGATTTTTTTAAACATGTTGATGTTTCCTTTGCTGTTTGTTATAATAAAGAGATGAAAAAAAAATTTTCATTTTGAAACGTAAACTATGGAAATGTCAGTTGCAAATTATGAAATATGTAAAAGCTTATCACATGATGTGACAGTTCCACTTCTTTTAAAAATAATCGATATACAATTGTAAATATACACGATGAACTGATCAAGCAATCCGTCAACAGTCTAATGGAACAGACGTTAAACTTAGTTGCTGACAATGCAACATCATGGAAACACGATTGGCTCTCTATTGAATTGATGTACGCATCCTCGTTATTGATCGTTTATGACGTTCAAAGCCTGTATCGAAAACTCCGTTGATGTAGACCTGTCACGGCATATACACCTACATCCTGCGGCACTTTGGAAGCAGCAGACAGTTGGCTTTGGTTGGTCAACAGATAAACAAGGAAGGTAAGTTTTCGTTATACGTTTTGTTTTGGTAGTGAGTATTTTTTAGGATATATCTTTGTTGTGAACGATAAAACATCTAATCTATTGGGATAGTGCATCTGCCAGTCTAGATGTTTCTCAGTCGTTTCCTAGACATTAAAGATTTAAGCTCTTTGCATCACTGACGAGTCCTAGAGTTAATAAACCGCTATATGGTGCAATTTCATCCATTGGTTCTATGGCTCATTTGTATGGCTATTGTACAATCTTCAACAACGTAATAATTAACTTCTACACTGTGAAATCATCCATTGATTTTCAGTCACAAGAGCTATTTTTTATACTAAATTGTCTTCCGAATGTGAATACCAGGTTATTATTGGCATATAACCCGTACCATATATTTTATACGGTATGGAAATCAAAAATATAATTGACACCTTTTTTTCTTCATTATTTTAATCGTGATGTCACAATCCCTATTTGGTATTTGCCATTGACGTCATAGAGTAAACAGGCAGGAAATAAAAATTTCAAATTAGAAAGTTTGCTGCAAAAATCAGATTAAAGTACGCACATGAATTCGTATGAAAAGAACCGCGTGTAAAACCCTCTGCAGATGAATGTGTACAGTTTCCCGTGAAATCCCTAGAACATCATATTGCATGATAAATATTTAAATTTATTCCTGCATTTATCAAAAGCTTTAATCTATAAATCACTGAAAAAGGAAAACAAATGATACATTTGGATGAAAGGACGAAAATATTTTTTTTAAGATTTAACCAATAAATATGATATTTTGATTTCTCGGATTAGTATGGTACTTTTGGTTAATTAAATACAGCATATCTCTCGTTAGTGTGACATCGGAATCACGTGACCGGATAGGAAGTCATGCTTTGATATCGTGTCAAAGAAACGTTATTTTCTACCGTTTTCTCTCTTCCATCATTGATTAACCATTTTGACATGATCCACACTGTAGGTGAGATTTAGTAAGCAAACCTGTAATATCATGGTGTCCTTGTGAAGGATTGTGCAAACGAATCACAAAGAGTAATACTGAATAATTACAGGTAGCAGATCTGCATCATGCATCTGTTGTGTGTGTTGTTGATTATCAAATTTTTGGGATCAAAAGACTGAAAATCCATAACGAGTTACCAAAATATCAGCAATCTTAAAATATCAAAACTAGGCTCGCAAACCTATGTACTTATTACTGAATTTCTTTAAGTGGAACAATAAGAAACACACGTAAGCATAATAATATTGAATATTTTTTAGAAGGTGTCATTTTGAAAAAAGGACAAAAAAAAAAAAAAAAAACCCATTGCGAGAGGTTTTTTGTTTCAATTGGAAAAGTGATATCTGTAATGTAGTGTATTTTCTTTTATATTTCAGATAAAAACAAATTGAATATATCAGAATGAACACCAGCAGTAATTTCACTACTGTTTCCTGTGATTACAATTGCTGGAAGAAGATAATTGATCAACTTAATGCCTTCATGGTCGTGCAGAATGTGCCCATCTTACTGTTTATGTGCCTGCTTGTGGTGATAGGAATCCCTGGCAATCTTATTGTGATTTGGATATACTGCGTGCGCAAGGTTCGAACCACTGCCAATTGCTTTGTCATCACCCTTGCCTGTGTGGATCTGACAACATGTGTCGTTATACACCCGTATGTTATATCCAAGTTGTTTAACAGCTTCAACCAACAGCAGGTTTTGACCTGCAAATTGTTCGAGTTTCTGATTCATTCAACTTTGTCTATATCCGCCATTGTTTTGTTCGTGGTCGCAGTGGACAGGTATCTAGCTATTTGCAAACCATTTCATTTTTTAAAATATCAGAAACATGCCACAGCTATTTTAATCATAACGTTTGTTATTGGCACTATCGATAGCCTTCCGTTACTAGAGTTTTATGGTAAGAGGACAATACAAGTATCTTCAATGTCCAACAGCATAGTTGAAGGATACATATGTGACTACAGTGACGAGTATCAAGGGACGGCATCAATGACGTCATTCGGGTTTGTCATGTTTGTTTGTTTCTCTGTGATTGTAGTAGGGATGATGATTATGTATATCAATGTTGCACGTACAGCATATAAACAACGTACAAGGGTCGTTTCTCCTGCAGACTTGGCGACCGATTTTGGAGAAAAGAACTTGAAATATGGCAACAAAGCTCCAAGTCAGAGTGTTCCAGTTAAAAGTGGTCCTAGTCGGAGTGGACAGACAGTTAGTCCCGTAATGGTGTTGTCAGGGTCTTCGGATTTAAGTTCCGTGTCAACAGTTGAGCATGTATCGTTGACAGTCAATATGTTCAGGGCAAATATGTATAAGGATTTGAAATCAAAGACACAACAGCCTTTATTTAAAACATCAAGCAAATATGTCCAGAAACGCATGTTGAGTGCAGACAATAACAAAGTGAATGAAGAGCGAAAAAGCGGAGAAACATCAAGCAAGAGTAAGGTTCGATGGAAGGCAACAACACAGTTGAATCACAGATACTCAGCAAGGTTGAAAGCAGCTAAGATTCTGTTTCTCGTAACAGCAGTGTTTCTCTTGTCCTGGCTTCCATTTTGGGTGATCAGATTTTGCTGGCTTTTCGCGCCGTCGTACATGGCTGGTCAATCAGAGACAGGAAAGGCAGTGTTGAATTTTTTCATGCACTTGTTTTATTTAAACAATGCTGCAAACCCTGTTATCTATACCATCATTAATAAGAATTTTCGTGCAGAATGTCGTCAATATTGGGAACGTTTTCGCGTTAAGATTGATCCATCATAAACTGGAAACCAGGGACAAACTTCGTAGTATATGTATAGCTGTAACAGTGTCACAGGGAATTGTTTTGGTCTGGTATCTATTTGGACTCAAATACTGTCTAAAATTATTAGATATATGACAAATATGAAATTTATCGAATTATGGCGCTTAATCATCCAAATTTTGACATTTCTTCCAATCAAGTTGATTTTTTCTCAGTCGCCTACTATAATTCATTGTTTGATTGCACTGACCTAACTCAAAAGCTCTAAATTTGTATTAAAAGCAATTGGCTTGTGTCTTTCATACAATCTACAGAATTAACATTTTTATTGAAGTCATGTAATAGATACGGATACAAGATATACCATGGGAGTAATGAACTTTCAAAACCATCAAATTGTTTGGCATATCGTGTCTGACTTCGGCGTCGAACTGATTTTCCTGACCGGAGTCAGTAACCAGAACATTAGTCCCACCGGGCTGTCCGTATTGATGTTTCTAATCTGTGAAATTAAAATCAAAACATATATCCATATGTCATATTTCATTCATAGAAGAACGAAGTATTTCGAAAAAGTTTCAATCTGATCCTTAGACCAAAATGAAGAAACCGATAATAGGAATCTTTGATGACAAACCAACAACATGAAATGTCAGCAAATATGTGGAACCTAAGGCCATATCCGTAAAGGTGTGTCATTTGATCGTATTTGATGCATATCATACATAAAAACAAATCAAATGACATCAGTTGAGAGAACTGGTCCTCGCTCGTCTGTACTCGTGTTTTGTTATTTTCATAAAATGTTAAAACTGACAGTACTATCTTTTAATTTTTATTATTTTTTAAATTAAATTTTTTTTCATTTAACCCTATTAATCCTATAGACCATTATAAATGAAGAAATTGGTATTACAAATGTCTGAAGGAATTTATTGATTTGTTGCGATCGAGATGTCTTTATTACACAGGAGTGATTGGTTGCGGGTTGGTTTGTATTAAAATTGTAACTTGAAGGCAATGAACGGCGCTGTTATCAACACCTCTCCTGAACGTTTTACCAAGTTGTTGAAGCGACATGTGGCATATTGTGATGACACGTTCCAAATTATGGTAGTAAAACATTCAAAAAAAAGTAAATTCCTTCATCATGAATAAGAAAAGGCAAGAACATGTATGAAATTACGATATCTCAAATAACCATTGATGACGAATTAGATTGCTGTTGGGGGGTTGTGGGGGATTAAGTCCACTCATAGCCTGATATACCATTCAAGGTGTCACCTGCCAAGTCCAAGAATGTACTACATGATCAGTAATATGCATACTGAAAGCAGTAAACAGAATTGGGAATGGGTAACTGGTAGAAAACCTTGACTGGCTTTGATAAACAAAACAAAACAAAACAAGTCGCTCGGAACATAGATTTGATAATTCCTGTTGATATTTCTAGAGAATTTTAGAATGATATGAAATAACGAGCGTTTATCAAGCGTGCATCTATTCACAATGTCCTGTTAGTATTCTCATCAAATCAGATACGCTGTTATTTAACTTTCATTTCACGAATATTCTATTAAATAAATAACATTAAGAGTGCGCAACAGGCAAATAGGAATACCAGCCCTGTCCTCACAGGTAGTATTTAATTATAAACAATTGTGAATTGTACACACACAACCTTAATCTATTTCGATGTCAATCAATTAGTGAAATCACGGATAGGTATCGATTTCCTTCTTGGAAATGTGATAATTGTTTCCATGTTCCATTGCAATCGATTAATATTGTCAAGCCAGAACGATTAGTCGGTGTTTCTATCTTCATTTTGAAATTGATGACAGGTGGTTTTATCTCTGTTTCACTGATAACCTTCAGTTCCTAAATAAACCCTTTCACCCTTGGGTGTTCACTTTATACACTTAACTAATGGTACGTGAGATTGAAATATCCCACTTTAAATATGTCAGGTATAAATAAAGATGATAAATCCTTCTAATTTGACAACATATAGTCACAATATCATTAAATATTCGTTTGATATGGTTTGTACATGTATGGTCTGTTTTAGTACAGTAATGATAAACTGTGACAAATGTTTAGATAATTTGAGCATAAAGGTTAACTCATACTGATATTGTATAACAACACAATGGGAGGCAGCGGCGAATTTATCATTGGAGAGGTTTGGGTTAGCAGCGGGTTTGTTATTGGAGATTGAGTTAGAGGCGGATTTGTAACTGGTGATTGAAGACTCGAATAACGAATTAACTACTAACAGCTAAGAAGAAAATCGAATAGCGATTAGACCAATGTAATCAAGCTGATGTTAGGATATAGGTTAACCTAACAAAAACAAATTAGATTTAGGATATAGGTTAACCTAACAAAAACAAATTAGATTTAGGATATAGGTTAACCTAACAAAACAAATTAGATATAGGATATAGGTTAACCTAACAAAACAAATTAGATATAGGATATAGGTTAACAAAAATACAAATTAGATATAGGATATAGGTTAACTAAACAAAAGGCAATTAGATATAGGATATAGGTTAACCTAACAAAAACAAATTAGATTTAGGATATAGGTTAACCTAACAAAACAAATTAGATATAGGATATAGGTTAAGCTAACAAATACAAATTATATATAGGATATAGATTAACCTAACAAAACAAATTAGATTTAGGATATAGGTTAACCTAACAAAACAAATTAGATATAGGATATAGGTTAACTAAACAAAAGGCAATTAGATATAGGATATAGGTTAAGCTAACAAAAACAAATTAGATATAGGATATAGGTTAACCTTACAAAACAAATTAGATATAGGATATAGGTTAACCTAACAAAACAAATTAGATATAATATAGGTTAACCTAACAAAACAAATTAGATATAGATATAGGATATAGGTATAAACCTAACAAAACAAATTAGATATAGGATATAGGTTAACCTAACAAAACAAATTAGATATAGGATATAGGTTAACCTAACAAAATTTAGATATAGGATATAGGTTAACCTAACAAAAACAAATTAGATATAGGATATAGGTTAACCTAACAAAAACAAATTAGATATAGGATATAGGTTAACCTAACAAAAACAAATATAGGTAACAAAACAAATTAGATATAGGATATAGGTTAACCTAACAAAAACAAATTATATATAGGATATAGGTTAACCTAACAAATACAAATTAAAAATAGGATATAGGTTAACCTAACAAAACAAATTAGATATAGGATATAGGTTAACCTAACAAAATCAAATTAGATATAGATATAGGTTAACCTAACAAAAGGCAATTAAATTAGATATAGGATATAGGTTAACCTAACAAATACAAATTAAAAAACAAACAAAAAGCAAATTATATATAGGATATAGGTTAACCTAACAAATACAAATTAAATATAGGATATAGGTTAACCTAACAAAATCAAATTAGATATAGGATAAAGGTTAACCAAAAACAACAAAAACAAATTAAGATATAGGATATAGGTTAACCTAAGAAATACAAATTAGACATAGGATATAGGTTAACCTAACAAAACAAATTAGACATAGGATGTAGGTTAACCTAACAAAATCACATTAAATATTGCATAAAGGTTAACCAAACAAAAAGCAAATTATATATAGGATATAGGTTAACCTAACAAAACAAATTAGATATAGGATATAGGTTAACCTAACGAAAACAAATTAAATATAGGATGTAGGTTAACCTAACAAAATCACATTAGATATTGCATAAAGGTTAACCGAACAAATAGCAAATAAGATATAGGATATAGGTTAACCTAAGAAATACAAATTAGACATAGGATATAGGTTAACCTAACAAATACAAATTAAATATAGGATATAGGTTAACCTAACAAAATCACATTAGATATTGCATAAAGGTTAACCGAACAAAAAGCAAATTAGATATAGGATATAGGTTAACCTAACAAATACAAATTAGATATAGGATATAGGTTAACCTAACAAAAACAAATTAGATTTAGGATATAGGTTAACCTAACAAATACAAATTAGATAAAGGTTTACTAAACAAAAGCAAATTACATATAGGATATAGGTTAACCTAACAAAAACAAATTAGATATAGGATATAGGTTAACCTAACAAAACAAATTAGATATAGGATATAGGTTAACCTAACAAATACAAATTAGATATAGGATATAGGTTAACCTAACAAAACAAATTAGATATAGGATATAGGTTAACCTAACAAAAGATATAAATTAGATATAGGATATAGGTTAACCTAAACAAAAAAACAAATTAGATATAGGATATAGGTTAACCTAACAAAAACAAATTAGATATAGGATATAGGTTAACCTAACAAAAACAAATTAGATATAGGATATAGGTTAACCTAACAAAAACAAATTAGATATAGGATATAGGTTAACCTAACAAAAACAAATTAGATATAGGATATAGGTTAACCTAACAAAAGGCAAAAATTAGGATATAGGATATAGGATATAGGTTAACCTAACAAAAACAAATTAGATATAGGATATAGGTTAACCTAACAAAACAAATTAGATATAGGATATAGGTTAACCTAACAAAAACAAATTAGATATAGGATATAGGTTAACCTAACAAAACAAATTAGATATAGGATATAGGTTAACCTAACAAAAACAAATTAGATATAGGATATAGGTTAACCTAACAAAACAAATTAGATATAGGATATAGGTTAACCTAACAAAAAAAAACAAATTAGATATAGGATATAGGTTAACCTAACAAATTAATATAGGATATAGGTTAACAAAAACAAATTAGATTTAGGATATAGGTTAACCTAACAAAACAAATTAGATATAGGATATAGGTTAAGCTAACAAACAAATTAGATATAGGATATAGGTTAACCTAACAAAAACAAATTAGATATAGGATATAGGTTAACCAAATATATAATATAGGTTAACAACAAAACAAATTAGATATAGGATATAGGTTAAGCTAACAAACAAATTAGATATAGGATATAGGTTAACCTAACAAAAACAAATTAGATTTAGGATATAGATTAACCTAACAAAACAAATAAGATTTAGGATATAGGTTAACCTAACAAAACAAATTAGATATAGGATATAGGTTAACCAAATAACCTAACAAAATAGGTTAACAACAAAAAATTAGATATAGGATATAGGTTAACCTAACAAATACAAATTAGATATAGGATATAGGTTAAGCTAACAAACAAATTAGATATAGGATGTAGGTTAACCTAACAAACAAATTAGATATAGGATGTAGGTTAACCTAACAAAACAAATTAGATATAGGATATAGGTTAACCTAACAAAAACAAATTAGATATAGGATATAGGTTAACCTAACAAAACAAATTAGATATAGGGTATAGGTGTACCAAATGAAAACAGATCAGATATAAAGATATTGATTCCAGTCATTGGATTCGTTTGCCGAATCTCCAATTCCACAATCTTCAGCGCTTTCTCTATAGGTTTGGGAGTTGTGTTGTTTGTTGTGATTGGCCGTCGCCATGAATTCAATGATATCTTTATCCTTATATGATATCAGTTAGATATGCCCGACTCTGGTAAACATGTCCGGTGTATTTGTTATTGTTAATTGTTGTTAAATTTGTCAAAAATCAAATTTAGCTGTAATTTTTTTTTCTGAATGTCCAATGGACTTGAAATTTGGTTCGGGGAACAGTACCAAATAACACTTTAATACATGATATTTCCTAATTTTTGACTGACTTATTTTTCTAGCGTTAAGTTCTGCTTAGTGTCTTTTCATATAAAGATCATCCAAGACATTTTACTTGGTATCATAGAGAGTGAAAAACAAAATGCTACAACAGCCCCGCAATAGACAGTCTACAGTTATACTGTGATACATCTGTGACATGTAAAATTACCTGACTTTTGTACATGTTGAACATTTCTTCATTTTGTAATCTTATTTATGAGGAATAAAATGATTGGTTGATTGATTGCTTGATTGATTGATTGGGTCGATTTCAATTTCACTGACGTTGAAATTAATTTTAATTGGAACGTATGCTGCCGATGATGTTGCTGTTGCGTCCAGTTTGGCGACGTCATGTTTTGTCGATGATGTTGACAGTAACGTTACGTTCCATTTAGTTACTACGTCGGTAACATCAGTATTGCCTGCTGAATGGAAAGCGATCAAGGCTACTGCTTAAGAGTCGGAAGGGCTTGACTATCCAAACATGGTTTCATAATTTTTCTTGGTCGAGGTCGATAGTTCTCCCTATATAAAGACACGGGCTTTTAGCGAACCGTGCGCGAATAGGCATTCAGGCAATATTTTATGTGATTAACAACAACGCGACGCCTATAAATGATATATCGGTGGATTGACGGAACAGGTCTCTAATACTTAAGCTTCATATCAAATCCGTTGACGATCCTAAACTAAAAACATCTACACGTTTTTTCCGACACCCAAATTTTCGAGCACATTTTGGACATGGCCGCCGTGTCGTTATAAACCTATTATAAATTATAAACTCTCGCGAGATTGGCGGTCATTTTCAAAATGAGCGTGAAACTCTGATTTCTATAATATAGGGAGGAAATCTCACTATTGACCGCGATCCGATCATGACAAAAAGATAAAACTGTGGATAGATAGTGATAACTTAAGAGATTAAATGTTAACAAGATCATACAATTAATATCATGACCGGATCCAGTCTTGCTCCAGGCAAGGCATTATTACCCATCTCCAATACAACAACCATCGACATTGGTTAAAAGAAACTTATATTTCATACAAGGTTCAAGCGTCGAGGTTCGGTGATGCTTGGCAAGAATTTCTAACTTGTAAAAATCTACAGCACCTCATTTTATCTTCAAAGAATTGCTTGGCATGATGAGTGGAAACAATCGGGTAATCACGATTGCCATCATATAGGTACCTCATAGTATATCGAGGACAAATGAATCTGCATTCTGCATTAAAAATACACATTTGTTGAGTATGCTTTCTTAAAAATATTTTGCAGCCAGTGTGTTATTCCAAAATGGCGTTCACGTCAACCGGCCTGGAGCTAAATAAAGGATGTGAGTCGTATGTCTCTTGTGTGGGAAAGGCTCGAATTACCAACCCGCAATGCTCCGGGAGAACAAACGTGCAATGTACTTTCTGTTGTCTGGGAAACCATTGCAACGACGACAATACCGGAAGTAAGATGTCTTTCTATAATTACGGGACTTATCAATAAGGGTTAATTGAATAAAAGCAGAGGTTTTGTTAGTTTTGAATTTGTCTGACACTTCGTCTATGGAATGTCTATTGCATTCAGGTGTAAAATATTTGTTTGCAGACAGAGGTATTGCCTTGCTTCTACAGATTAATATTAGTGCGTATTATTGATCAAATTTCTTAAATAAAATAGGGTTTTTTCAATGTCTGTCTTGGCTTTGAACTCACGGTACAGTTTGTAAAACCTCGTCTCTAACAAATAGACAATGGCAATAAAAAAAACAAACAATAACATAATATAATTAAGAAAGTACATTGTTATAAAAATATTTAATGTAAAAAAAACTATTAGTCAGTATCATTTATTAGCAAATGTGAGTTAAATTACGAAATTTCATGACATGTCAAATGATTCGACATAATTCCACTCTTCTTTAATGACTTTGCCGATGTAATATTTTTCTTCCATGTCTAAAACCTGTCAAAGTGTAACTTTATTGAGTTATGTGATAAAAAGTTTCGTTTCATGTAAGAGTTGTGGAAGTCCTTTTAAAATCTTGATATTCGCTAGCTAAGGCTCGGTAAAAAATGAAAACTAATCTGAAATGGAAATGAATATAAGATCCTATATGTAGCAATGAAATGGTTTTACTGAACAGTGTTCTTAAGGGTCGCATTTCTAACTTTAATCCTCTTTGAAAAAAAAAAAAAAAATTATATCGGGTATTTCCTTATATCACCACGTGACGTTAAAAAATGACGTCATTTTGTAACGTCACGTTTGATTGGCCAATGCGGTAGTGTAAGAAATTAGCAAAGAAAAGAGGCCATTATAGATGTAAAAATACTGAAATGTGAGATTTAATTATTAGAAATAATTATTTCTATGTACATCCCGTTTTTATAATTTTGGTTCAATGATATCATATAAGATAATTTATATTATTTTCTTATTACAGACCGCTTGAGGACGGTGACGTTTGCCTTGACAGCAGAATTGTATGGCGATGTTGCTGATAATCTGTTAATTGGAGGTTCCGTGTTTTATGTCGCTGTTCAATCCGCAGTAAGTTTTTGTAATCTGCATATTAATTAATTATAAAAAAATTGTTGAAATACGTACATAACAATGAAGTATATTATAACATTTTTGTCAATGAACCACAAAAATGAATTTTGACTCATTTTCTGAACAGGCATCAAACAAATGAAATGAATGTCAATATCTATTTGTTCATAACGCTATGACGACACATATATATGGTCTAAAACTTTAAATCTTTTGTGTTATTTAAAAACATATAAATATACGTAGCACCTACTAAATCAAACATGATTTTCAAGATTTACAAAATAGGAATTAAAAACGGAATTCATCTCTTTGATATTTTAAACTTGAAATGGAAACAAAATGTATAATTTTTTGCCACGTGATGGAGCATTTGGGCAGTTAATATTGCGACTCATATTCTTAAAGTGCTTTCGTTCTCTGAGAAATCTCTGACGTCATAAATTGATTGATAATAATATGACGTCAAAAAACTGATTAATACTAGGTTGGTGTATTTATCGAAATCTAGCATAGTTAAAAGATAAAAGATCATGATGTTACGATAATTGGATAATAGAATACAAGAGTTGTGTATTGTAGATTATGACATATAACTAAATCCTGCATGGAAATATAAATTGACACATGATAGTCTCACAAATTACTTTAAAAACTTAGATGAGCGTTGTCAGAACCACCTAATCTCTCCGTATACGAAGGAGAGTGAACTAATTCGGTGTGTTTTCTTTTCCAGATTGCAAATATTTTAACCAATCAGTCATTGGGATCATATCACGTGATCGTTCACAGCATCGCGAGATTAGGGTAAGTAACAAAAGTGTATTGTAGGAGATCAAGTGATAAGACGCAATAACAAAATGGCCACATAATTTGTCCTTTTTTTTCGTTATCTGATGTTTGATCACGTACATTTGTAATATTCAGAGAAAGATAAATATAACGCCACCATTTTTGAGTCTTCGTCAACTCCATGAGTATTTTCAGATTGTGTTTTATTACTTTGAAATTGCCACAGGCCCGGAGAATTGACAGTTTCTGCCAGCATTGAGTGCTACACAATATACGAAATGCAGGAAGTCGAGTTATATAGCTTTATCTATAACGAACTTCAAAAAACAGCCCAGTTACACGACAAAAAGGTTCACAGCTGGGCACTTGAAAACCCAAGTAAGTTTTTCTTCATAATAGACAACATCAATCAAGTACAACAACAACAACAACAACAACAACAACAACAACAACAACAACAACAACAACAACAACAACAACAACAACAACAGTGTGCCGAAACAAATTAGAACACTGTATCATCATTCCAAACTGATGTTGTAGTTCACATACCAGACTGATGTTGTAGTTAACATACCAGACTGATGTTGTTGTGATCATACCAGACTGATGTTGTAGTTCACATACCTGACTGATGTTGTAGTTAGACATGTTGTTGTGACATAACAAACTGATGTTGTAGTTCACATAACAGACTGATGTTGTAGTTAGCATACCAAACTGATGTTGTAGTTCACATAACAGACTGATGTTGTAGTTAGCAAACTGATGTTTGTAGTTAACATACCAGACTGATGTTGTAGTTAACATACCAGACTGATGTTGTAGTGTACCAGACTGATTTAAGTTAGTTAGCATACCAAACTGATGTTGTAGTTAACATACCAGACTGATGTTGTAGTTAACATACCAACTGATGTTGTAGTTCACATAGTTAACATACCTGACTGATGTTGTTTAACATACCAGACTGGTGTTGTAACATACCAGACTGATGTTGTTGTGATCATACCAGACTGATGTTGTAGTTCACATAACAGACTGATGTTGTAGTTAGCATACCAAACTGATGTTGTAGTTAACATACCTGACTGATGTTGTAGTTAACATACCAACCTGATGTTGTAGTTCACATACCAGACTGATGTTGTAGTTAGCATACCAAACTGATGTTGTAGTTAACATACCAAACTGATGTTGTAGTTAACATACCATACTGATGTTGTAGTGATCATACCAGACTGATGTTGTAGTTAACATACCTGACTGATGTGTTGTAGTTCACATAACAGACTGATGTTGTAGTTAACATACCTGACTGATGTTGTAGTTAACATACCAACCTGATGTTGTAGTTCACATACCAAACCGATATTGTAGTTAACATACCAGACTGGTGTTTAAGTGATCATACCAAACTGATGTTGTAGTTAACATACCAGACTGGTGTTTAAGTGATCATACCAGACTGATGTTGTAGTTAACATACCAGACTGATGTTGTAGAACCAGACTGATGTTGAAGTTAACATACCTGACTGTTGTTGTTGTTAACATACCAGACTGATGTTGTTGTGATCATACCAGACTGATGTTGTAGTTCACATAACAGACTGATGTTGTAGTTAGCATACCAAACTGATGTTGTAGTTCACATAACAGACTGATGTTGTAGTTAGCATACCAAAATGATGTTGTAGTTAACATACCTGACTGATGTTGTTGTTAACATACCATACTGATGTTGTAGTGATCATACCAGACTGATGTTGTAGTTCACATAACAGACTGATGTTGTAGTTAACATACCTGACTGATGTTGTAGTTAACATACCAAACTGATGTTGTAGTTCACATAACAGACTGATGTTGTAGTTAGCATACCAAACTGATGTTGTAGTTAACATACCAGACTGGTGTTTAAGTGATCATACCAGACTGATGTTGTAGTTAACATACCAAACTGATGTTGTAGTTCACATAACAGACTGATGTTGTAGTTAACATACCAGACTGGTGTTGTAGTTATTATACCTGACTGATGTTGTAGTTAACATACCAAAATGATGTTGTAGTTAACATACCTGACTGATGTTGTTGTTAACATACCATACTGATGTTGTAGTGATTATACCAGACTGATGTTGTAGTTCACATAACAGACTGATGTTGTAGTTAGCATACCAAACTGATGTTGTAGTTAACATACCTGACTGATGTTGTAGTTAACATACCAAACTGATGTTGTAGTTCACATAACAGACTGATGTTGTAGTTAGCATACGAAAATGATGTTGTAGTTAACATACCAAACTGATGTTGTAGTTCACATACCAGACTGATGTTGTAGTTAGCATACCAAACTGATGTTGTAGTTAACATACCAGACTGGTGTTTAAGTGATCATACCAAACTGATGTTGTAGTTAACATACCAGACTGATGTTGTAGAACCAGACTGATGTTGAAGTTAACATACCAGACTGATGTTGTTGTTAACATACCATACTGATGTTGTAGTGATCATACCAGACTGATGTTGTAGTTCACATAACAGACTGATGTTGTAGTTAGCATACCAAACTGATGTTGTAGTTAACATACCTGACTGATGTTGTAGTTCACATAACAGACTGATATTGTAGTTAGCATACCAAAGTGATGTTGTAGTAAACATACCTGACTGATGTTGTAGTTAACATACCAAACAGATGTTGTAGTTAACATACGATACTGATATTGTAGTGATCATACCAGACTTATGTTGTTGTTAACATACCCGACTGATGTTGTAGTTAACATACCCGACTGATGTTGTAGTCAACATACCAAACTGATGTTGTAGTTAACCTACCTGACTGATGTAGTTCACATAACAGACTGATGTTGAAGTTAACATACCTGACTGATGTTGTAGTTCACATAACAGACTGATGTTGTAGTTAATATACCAAACTGATGTTGTAGTTTATTACACCTGACTGATGTTGTAGTTAGCATACCAGACTGATGTTGTAGTTAACATACCAAACTGATGTTGTAGTTAAAGTTAACATACCAAACTAATGTTAAAGTTAATATACCAAACTAATGTTAAAGTTAACATACCAGGATATTGGTTTCTAACAACTACAGAGACACTACTGAAACATTTGTATTGCACTGTTGTAGTTTGATGTTTCATTATAATTAAGATTCTTTATGTTTTCCAATCATTTGATGTTTGTATCCTTTAGTCAATACTACCTCACATGCACTTCTTATTATTTTTTTTATGACGATCAATACAAATTTAGAACATCAAACGTGTCATTTGGATATACTGGTCTTTTTATGATTGTTAGATTGTACTTGAGCACTGTTGCAATTTCTTATTTTTCTGCTGTTAAATTGATTGATGGAAACTTCAAACGGAACAAAAACATCGCTGAATTAATTTAAAATGAAGGGATTCATATGATTCTCGTCACATCTCTTTACAAGTATACCTCAAAGTCCTGCGCACCTATATCTGTGATTTATGTATCTTATATGTTACCAGAGAAGAGATGTGTACATAAAACATCTGCCTTGTTCATTGCTCATCAATGCTTCTTTTCTGCCACGTTTCTCGTTTGGAGAACCTGACATAATTGAATGCACGACACATGCATTTAATATAATGGAATTAGCTTGTTTGTCTGTCTGTTTGTCAGTTCTCAAATCGCTCCACTTGACTGGATAATTCCTTTCAAAATGATGGACTGACTTTAATGGATTTTTGTATATATTTTAACTACCGCACACGATGTGTATTTTCAATAGATTGTTGACCTAATTGCCGAACTTAATGTCTCTCTAATTTGTCAAAATCATTTATTTCGTATAGTCTTAAAACAATTAGAAACGTGTCTCGTTTGTCATCGTAACTACACATACGTCGACAGCTGTTTTTTCCCACAATTTACTTTATACCAACTTATGAATTTTACAAATCCTTGCTTGCAGCACTGTGTCCTGCTGAAAATGTTGCCAGTCCTAAAGGAACGTTTTCTTGGACTTTTGCTGAAATAGGTGAAACACAGAGGGTCGTTTGTCCAAACTACACAGGAAACAGTTTCAAATATGCTTACAGAGAATGGTAGGGATTAAAATCTGATGTCAAGGTTTATATTTACATATATATTTGATAACTGAAACATTTTAATAACAACTTTATTCCACTTCATGATTTTTTTATTAACTTTTTACAATCAAGAGAATATATCTAAACTGTTACATATTTTTGTCCATCTCATAAGATGGAGTAAATCTAGTAATCGGAACAGCCGAAAATCTTATACGATTGAGTAAATCAAGTAAAGAGAACAGCCGGAGCATTGAATGGACAGCAAGAGTATTGTGACGTCATATTTCAGTAGAAGCAGATGCAATGAGAGTGTCATTATCATATTGTGTTTAATCATGTTTGGTATGATGGTGTATTGGGACAGTGGTGAACATATATAAATACACGGGTATAGCTGTAAATGTTTCATCAAAGATTCACGAAGACCTGTCTTACGTCTGCTGATTGCTCTCCGATAAAAACCAGCTGGAATAAAAGAGTGTGTTCTCATTTTATTCTTCATGGCTTGTCTTCGACGTGGAAATATCAATTAATGTCTTTTTCGTTCTCGACAGTAAAGCTATATATGGCCTAGCATGGATCGTATTCTCTATAATTCCAATGTCGTTATTGTTCTAGATGTCTTAAATCTATTAGTCACATGAAAATCACCTGTCGTAAAAGGTAATGGATACGCTTTCGTTTTGCATAGGGGCAAATATTCCATACAATGATAAAAGGCCTATACATTTTCACCTTTAAGCAATATTTCCTGTATGTAAGTACCTGATTTGTCCTCCATTGCAATTTTGTCCTTTTTAATTTGTACTTTTCACTTTCTTTTTAATTGATGTTGTTCTGTTTTTAAATTGATATGACAATATATCGTATTATATGTTTCCCTGAAGCCTGATGGGACTTAACAATGTCGCAGAGTGGTCAGCCATGACTGTTAAGGATTGCCTTGACTACACAGCACCAGCAACGACGACATCGACGACGACGACGACGACAACAACAACGACGACAGCGCCACCTGTTAGCACGACGGCCAATCTAATACAACTGTCTCGGGAACCGGCCACAGACGGTAGGTATTTGTTATTCACTTAAGCATTCGGTTACAAAATTAATTCAGAAATGGCATTCCTGAAGATTTATTCAGCCAAACAAGACACAGTTGATTAAAACTTCTTTACTAATTTATAAATTATACCCACCATTTAAATTGTGATTTACCTCGTTTGCCTCTTCGGTCCATACATTTAAGACCCCCTTGCATCACTTACGAGCTATGGAGGTTGTGATGATTTTTATTTTTCCGGATCGAAAGAATGAAGGGATATTGTTTTATGCAGTCTGTTTATCTGTTTTCAACTTTAAAATTGCTCATAAATATTGCACCGTAAAACGTATGGCTTTCATATTGGCACGTGTGCTCCTTGTGACAAGACCATTCTCGTGGTTTCAAAATGTTTGACCATATGACCTTGACCGTGACCTTTGACCTACATTTCAGAGTGAATGAAAGTCATTACCATAATGAAGACACAAGTGTTTTACAAAATGTGCATACAATTAGCGCATGTCTTGCACATAACAGTTTTAATGTCCCACTTTAGAATTTTGTTGCCACCGGGGCCATATTGTTTGATAAACTCATCTAGTTTTTGTTTTGTTTGTGTTTTTGTTGCTGTTTTCACTTTGTCTGCCTTTTGAACTTTCCATCACAACCTCTTACGTTTGTTGCCCAGTTTATACTGTGAAATGGTTAATACAGTGTACATATCCCCTTTGGTAAAAATATGTACAAAAATAAAAGTCACAAATGACTAATTAGTTAGATATATTCACTAAAGGATTAAGTCACTGAAGTCTTTGTGCAGCACTCGATTAAACTTATATCATCATCTTTAAAGTCTTTAATGAACGTCACATTTGTTTATACAAAATAAATCGATCTAAAATATAAAAAAAAGGATACGTATATCGTCTATTGGTGTATCCGAAAGCTTTCCTACTTTTATGACAATGTCACGATAAAACGAATTTTTACCGACTTCTTTTAATTATTATATGTATATTTATATATATCTCAAGTGTATCATAAAAAGGAATTCCTTATCTGTTTATCAACCGTCCGAATATGTTCTATTTTTCGTCAAATATATGATAACGCCTGCGCACAAAACACCGTCTCCTGTAAACAGAAATGGCTTCCCGCTTGAATCGGTTGGCGATTAATTTTTCGTAGTTCTGAATTGACTAAGATTTATCAAATAACATTTGTCAAACCCATAGCAAATTCAGGTGCTTAAAAACTGGTTTTTACTGCGTCATTGTCATTTCTGTCCGCCATCATGTGTTCGTGTTTACAGAATTAACTGCCTCGTTTTCAAAACTATGGCGTGACATTATCTGCTTTAAATTTAAAAGGGTTTCCCGCACTAAAGAAAATGGAAATCGACTGTGAATATTGGGATAGCATAGAAACGTAACTGAAAATATAATAAACAAGTACAATTAACAAAAAATAATGAGTTTACCGTGATGTCCTTTTAAATACTCAAAAATTGTGATTAAAAAATTTGAATAAAAATGTAGAGTTGGAAACGACAGCGCCATACAATCAAACTGCGGTTTCGGGCTCCTAGTTCACTTCAAAAATGATAAAGGCCGAAATTTTGAATTTCGGGAAGCAACATGCACAAATGACAACCAATATTTGATTATAGTGAATGCCGATGACCAGGCCACTAAGCTTGCGGAAATATCGGGGGCCTCCGAAACCTACAGCAGTGATGATGTCAAGTTGACGATCGATAAACTGGAGGAACTAATCAACCTTAATAGCACCCACTTCTCCTCACAAAGGGAAGCAAACATCGCGAAGACTATGAGTAACTTCCTGGATACTCCAAAGGAGCAGTTATCAGTTGCAGAAAAGGATTCGAACAGCCCGACTAGGTAAGCATTTATCAAAGCTTGGAAGGGAAGGTAAATATATATATCCGGTGAAAAAAACGGCAAGCACCAGGTGATATAATATTGACAAAATATTTTAACGAGATGTAAATATTTAACACGCAGTAAATTCTGTGGAAATGCGACTTTCAGGACGGTACACTATGCAAATACATACATATTAAACGTATACACAACACTTAACATAGTGGAAGACGACAAAAACGTGCATTAAGGGATTATAATTAAGTCCTTGTTATAATTCATGAGTCTCCGCGTGAATCTTTTTGTTGTTTACATCATATCCTAGTTTTGTTAAAACTGAGTATAAATTATAACTCTTTTGATACATTTTGAATTACATCTTTAAAGTTTTGGATCAATTCAAATATTTCCAGTCCTATATTTGGCGATATATAGAACATTAGCGTCATAGAACTGTCCTCGAATGACGTAACGGCAGCAGTTAAACTTCATTATTTGGCTCCGATTTTAAATTTGTGTTGATAGATGCGATTGTTTTGTGTGTAATTAGAAACGTTTTAATATTCCTGTCTTGTTATTCAGTTCCGGTATGTCTTTCATGCCATTAAACTATTTTTGGAACTAAAGCTTTCCGTTTTCAGGTTTTTGCAAATAGTTCAGACGTTGGTTGACAGAGCTGAAACAAACAGTTTCACCGCTGTAAATCCTAATTTGGCATTGTTTTCAAGAAGAGGAATTACATCGTCCAGTTTCAATGGTTACACTATTCATTCTAACAGCCAGCCAGGGGAAAAGTTTGCTCCAAATTCGGTAAGAATGTTTACCATTAGACAGAAAATGAAATGACGCGAGAATTTCTCGTTGTCGTGCTTTTGCGTAAGTTGTGAAATATCATCGTTAGTGACAAAAATACTTTCTTCTTGGCGTCGAATTTGATTTTTTTAACTGTAATCATTCATTTTTTTCATTTTTTTTCTGTGTCGATTTGGAAATTTCACAATTTTGTTGACATTGTGCTGTATATATGTACAGTGACTAGATTATGGTGTATTTCACATCTCGTTAGTATGTCTGGTGGTGCAGTTGTTGTTCTAATTTGTGAACATGACGTTACTAACTTAGATTGATCATTCACTAGTTACCAAGTTGAAGTCATCACTGAAACAGGTGATGCCTAACCATCCGGAACATATTGCAGTGTCCGAGTAATTTTTTCATTTGTTTATGTTTTGCCATTGTTTTATCGAATTTGAGTTTGAATTACGATTCTGTTGACGTGGCGTTACTTCCTTTGTTGTTTCTGTAAGCAACGGTTTCCTCGACACTTCACCAGGTTAAACGAGGAGTGTTGGGAAATAATTTCCCTGAGTAAGATAAAAACAAAAAACACAAACACACATTCAACCAAATTACTCCTTAAACTATCTACTTATGCTTTCAGCTTGAAGCTTAATTTAAATAACTTGGCAATAAATCCTTTTTAACAAGTTCCCAGGCTAATGTGACATGGTCGGGTATTGTCTTATCAAGTCCAATGAAATTTCAGTATGACGGCACTATAAATTTGCCATGGAGTGACCCTGTCATCCGAAAACAAGTCTAAAAATCACCTTTGCTTTTCGTGAATGGAGAATCGAGAAACATTTGTGTGCGTTGACGATGTGATATAGTTTACCTTAAAAATTCTACCTTGTCTTTTTGGGTGATTTGACGGTTTTTTTCTTCAAAAATTTTCACCTATTGATATGATTTCCGCTGTAAATACATTTCTCCTTCTTAAAGAAAACACATGACACATCTTTGTCTTATTTGTTTTCGAAACGAATAATAAATTAACTAATTAAAAACAAAATAAATATAAGTAAATTAACTTAAATAGACAGATGAAATTAAAAATTAAATAAATAAAATTTAAAGAAAAAATAAATAAAATTAGAAAAAAAAAAGAAAAAAAAATCCAGCTCGACCTCTGATGTTACTGTACGAATTTTGTTGTTTCATTTGAGTGTTGTATGGTTGATAATTCACTATAAATTTTTACTTTCTATAGATATAGGATAATTTCCAGGAGACTTTCATTCGGCCTTACTATTTAGCAGTTATTTTTGTGAAAACATCTATTCTGAGAAACATAAATTGAAAAATTATTTGTGATTTTTTTCCAGAAACATAATGGTCATTATTCATCACGATCTGACAAATCAGACAAAAAAAGTTTTGATAAGTCAACTGTATTTTCGTCATAATGATCTCATTAGGGAATTGTCTACGTCCTTACGTGATATGTAGTTAGACTAGCTTGATGCTCGTTAGTGTACCAATGGGCTAATTTGTTCACCCTGTTTACTATCTGTTGGCATAGTATTTCATAAAACACCGTGTTTGCGGTGACGATTCAAACCGATTAGACATGGCAGGTAGATATCGTAATCTGTGAAACACGTTTTGTAAAGCGTGTTATTTTTCTGTAACATTTATATGGCTGCTATCGCGATCTTACTGAAAAGTGTGAAATAGCATTAATATTTATCGGTTATGAGACCAATAGCCTGTATTTACAAATTACCCACTTGGACACCCAACCTATGATGTTAACAAGTCGCACTTTATTCGATATTCAAGGGCCTGTTCCCGTTATAATGTTTCTCTCCGTGCAAAAAGTCAACTGAAGGGACAAACTCGTAACACAGGGTTTCAAAAGATACAGATCGGTGTAAATTTGAATGGCCACCATAGTGATTTCATTGAGAATTATCTTATTTATTGTCCGATATGAACCTTGACATGTTTAATGCTCGATAGTGTTCCTGTTGTTTCCGTTGTTGTATAAATTATTCTCATTTAAGAACGTGACACTGATTACTTGGATTGACCAAGGTTTACAAAGCGGGTGTCGTTGATGAAGCAGAAGACGCTTACTCTTCCAGAACACATGGTCTTATTCTTGTGCATTTTCAGGAGTCTCCGTGTAAATCTTTCCTTTGTTCATACTTTGTCCCTAGTTTTATTGAATTTGAGTTTGGATTATAATTATGTTGTCATATTAGTATTTTTCTGATTCTTTTTTAAATACCAGATTACTTCCGAATTATAAATATTGTAGTCTCGTTCGTAGACTGTCCCTTTCGTCACAGATATCTGGTAACAGAGATTGTTATTTTTTCTCGTTTCAGGTCCAAGTACTTGCAGGGACACATAATACCAGTGACCAGTCTTTCTTAGTCTTACCTGCCGATCTCCCTCAATCATTGACTGCCAACCAACGGGCGGCCATATCTAAAATAACATTTGCAGCTTTTGCCGAGGATAAAATATTCTCAGTGGGTGTCGCTTTCAGATGAGAGATCAATAATATTCTATATAAAGATATCCTTTCGTGTCCATTTTGTATATTTGTATAAAATGTTAACGCATTTGATCATTTTTTGTAGAAATATTATGTTATTTGAAACTTATTCATCACTGGATATGTCTCCATACGATGAAATTGACATTGTTCATTTTAACACTGGAGTTTCAAGTTATGTATTTCTGTTTGTAGGCCATAACAGGTGATCTTCCACTGGCGTCCGGCGATCCACAAGTGGGCGATAACTCCAATTTTATTAGGGGTCCCAACAGTCTAATAATGGCTGCCTCTATACCTAACGTTGATGTCTCTGGTCTGCAAAGTCCGGTCCTACAGCGTTTTGTTCATACTGATAAGGTATTTTGCACGAAATTACATATTTCTGACTATTATCTGCTATGTCTGCGAAAATAGAATTATGAATCCAATTAAATCAGCGTCGTTTTGATTCTTGTCATTCCATATGATACATGTAAAACCGTAGTAAGAAGCAAACACTTAGGTGACATGTTTCAGAAATGACGTCAGTATAATAGTTCATTCAAACCTGCGCTGTTTCCTGTCAATTACAGTAAGTGAATTAAGAAAAAGAAATGCTAAATGATTGCCTTTTATTGGGTTTATCGCGGTTCCAACAAACATGGTCATTTCGAGGCGAGCTGTGAATATTCCTAAGTTTTAATGTGTTCAGCCGCTGAGTTTGATTGGATATAAATAACGCTTTGACGTGATTAGCAAATCGTAGTCAGGGGGAATAACTCGATCTTACTCGAATAACTTTAGGTGGCGCTTTATTACCACGTATTCAGTATAAATCCCGGTTTACATGGATGGAGCTCAAGGAGAAAACAAACAGTATTATTCATAGATAATTGTTTGAATATATTTATGTGTTGAGTCAGTCATTCCAAGTTGGTGTAGGCTCATGGAAACTTTTATTAAAACATCGGTTACCATGTATTCACATTTTTAAGGCCGCAAAACGCCAATAATTTCGTGTTGCCGCCATAAAAAACGTATCAAATAAGTGAATGAGATGATTCTTCAGAAATATTAATTCTGTCAAAGCATTTCAGTTAGTCATGCACATCTGTCACCAAATATTCATAGGGAAATTCAATGGAACGGCTGATTTAAAGAAATACTTACTTCCGGAAAGCTCATGTCAGATCAGCGATAGAGAAGATTTAGACGTATCGGTTAGAAAAGCTATACACACGCCCGTTTGTGACACGTGAAAATCATGCATTTAGTTTTGGTAGGAATTATTTCACGATCACAAAAAAATGTTCGTATTTCGAGTTATTTTACTAAAAACGCTGTATCAATGGAAAGCTTTTATAAAACAAATATCCACGTTTTTTCACCGGAAAGGAAAGTTTTGTCGCAGTCGATAGAGCCCATCTTCAATATACTTAACTGAAAGACGGTTCAGTGTTTAGTTTTCGGTCTGAAGTTAATAGATATATATCAAGTAGTAACCCCTATTTTATATTTTGACAGAATTCTAACAACCCTGAATGCGTCTTCTGGGACGAAAGTTTACAAACCATATCAAAATGGTCAAACCAAGGCTGCTTCATATACGAAACTGTGAACAACTCCCACACCACCTGTGCATGTGATCACCTGACCAACTTTGCATTATTAATGGTAAATGTAGTGTTTATATTGAAATAAAAATAAAACCTGTCCCAAATCGGTATACAGATGAGTTCTTTTAATTGAAAAATTATTTCTACTTTGTTAGCTATAAAAAGGATTCGTTTGTCCAGTTCCAAAGTTGTTTTATCTTAAGTATTTTTCAGAAATAGTTATACTCTTTAACCTTGGAATAGATGTCTTAAACTAATCCACATTCTATCTTCTAAAGAAAAAATTCACTTCGAATTTAACCTCTGTTGTTAAATTAATCAATTTACGTTGTTAAATTTATATATGAAGCTAATTTACTTCAGTGATATTAAGAGATGTTTTGTGTTGAACTGTACATACTGTATCAATTCCTCGATACTCCAGGGGTTACATTCACTTTCGCTCTCGGCACCCCTGGAACATGTCTTGGCAAAACTGAAGGTCTATTGGGCGACACTTTGTGAACAATACCACTGTGGTCCTTTGATCCTGCGAATCTCGAGGTCGTATGACTATATATTGTAATAGCTTTGAAGATGGGTGGTGATCATTTGTAATCTTCAAAAGAAGAATATCAGTCTGTGATTGGTCAGTTTTTTTTCTCCTGTAACCAATCAAATTACTTGTTCTGTCAATTTTGGCATGACATGTTCCATGTGCAGTGATCGTAACCTCTGGAGTATAGAGGATGGTTGATATCATAAATAACGAGTCATTATATACCAATGATTGTGTTCTACAGGATATTTACGGTACAGGTGGAAACCTCAGTGAAGAGAACAGGCTTGCCATGTCTCTAATTTCCTATATCGGATGTGGGATTTCCATATTTGGTCTTTTACTGACACTCATTACGTATTGTGCTTTCAGGTAAATAACTACTAGAGATATATATGGATATTATATTCATTTGAAACATTTAGATAAGTTTTTTTTATAAGTCAAGGGAGTTTACTTCAGTGTCCTTAACAACGCAAAGGATTTTTTTTTAAAAGCGTGGATATTTTTTTATACGGGCTTTTTAACTTAGAAATATTAATGGCTTACACTTTCCAAAATTTCAGTTCGCTTATTATGTGAGCTGTATTTCTATCTATGTTTGAAACAAACGTATTCTGTATCGTTGTAAAGGGAGGCTACTCTTGTAAGCTTAGCGGAGAAGAAAGGATGAATTTTCGATCGTTTTTCTGACGTTAGTATCGATCAATTTTCATGTTCTTCAGAAAACTACGTACCAGTAACCCGTCGAAGATTCTCATCAATCTGTGTATTGCCCTGATTTCGGTTAATATAATCTTTATCTTGGGTCAGCAAAAATACACCCTGGACAACTCCATTGCTTGTAAGGTATGATAACATTTCTCATAATGTAATACTGCTGTAGTTTGTGGATCGAAGACTTTTTCATTTTGAATTTATCTCGTTTTCATTCAAATTCGTGCAAATTCTAGATATTCGTAATACATACATCCTTTAACTGCAAACGTTTTTGATGAAACATGGATTATTTAAGCCATTGAAAAAAAATTCAGTACACGACAAGATGAAAATGAAAATTAAATTAACCTGATCCAAATATTTAATATGGTTTTAAAGGTGGTGGCGATTTTGCTTCACTACTTCCTGTTGTCCGCTATGACGTGGATGGCGGTGGAAGCTTTCTACATGTACCTGGCTCTGGTCAAGATATTTAACACCTACATCCGGCGTTTTCTCCTCAAGTGTTGCCTGGTAGGATGGGGTAAGGACCTTTCCAAAAATGATTTTTTTCATTTTCCTGTCTTGGCTCAACGCAGAAATCGTTCTCATTGTTTATTTTTCATATTGCATTTAAGTTTACGTTAGATTTTTTTATTTTTTTTTTTGCCGTGAGAAAAAATTTGAAGGGCTTTTCAATTATTTATGTGAACCACATAATTTTCCTGTTTCATGGTAAAAGACAACTTCGTTTCCATTTAATATGAGGTTTGTGAAACTCTTCGTGAATATTTCTAATATGAAATGGAATATTATGACAGATGTTCTATGTTTATCGTTTCCCGTTGTCAGATTTAATAAAGTTTGTCGTTTCTTAACCAGTTGTCATGACTTAGGTTACCTGTAGATTTAGTGGGTTGTAGTAAACTTATATAACTAATCAAAAAAGAGTAACAGGAACTTTATGTTATGTGTATTTCATGGTAAAAGTTAAAGAATATCGAAATATTTGATACATTTCAATGTTGAAATAGTTGCTTCAAAATTAGTGTATTAATGCTTAGTGGAATAGAAGCTCTTGTAACACAAAAAGTAGGAGATTTAAGTGTGACGTGACGTTTCGATGACTACATGGCCACCTTCATCAGACAAATGATTAGCGTGGAGCGTACTAGTACCGACGTATTTTGTGTACGAGATTGTAAGGAATCGACTTTTTCGGCTGTACTGTAATCTTATGTTTACTAAGGTCGAAAATAGCGTGACGAAATGGAAAAAGTTGCTAACAAAAAAGTATACAAGATGGTAACAATGTGGAAGTACTTCTTAAGAGTTTTTGTGTACATCCAGAATAGAATTAAATATATGTCTGGTAAAAAAGTAAACAAAGAAAATGAAATGGATTTTAACTAAACTATTCCCGTCAAATGATGAATCATTCTGGTCTATATATGCGTACTAAAATTCGAATATTTTATGGTTCCGATGTTCTGATGAAAAAATGAAATAAATAATTAAACATCCTATGGAAAACAACATGTTTGATAACGACTGTAAGACGTACAAGAAGAAATATATATATAATGTTAAGCACCATTAATACCTCTACGTCATTACTACAGCATCAACTATTTGACAGGTATACCTGTTGTGGCGGTGGCGGTGACGTTAGGAATTAACAAGACGGATAACTACGGAAAACAAGCTGGAGACATGTAAGTTATGTTCTAGAAAGGTGAAACAGCTGTGTGACGATTCCTAGAAGGAGGAAACAGCATTATGACATTCCTAGAAGAGTGAAACAGTTGTATGACAAGTCTTACAAGGATGAAACAGGTCTATGACGAGTCTTAGAAGGGTGAAAAAACTATATGACGAGTCTTAAAAGGGTGAAACATGTCTATGACGAGTCTTAGAAGGGTGAAAAAGCTATATGACGAGTCTTAGAAGGGTGCGACAGCTGTTTGACGAGTCTTAGAGGACTGAAACAGTTTCAAACATAATCATGTATTTTATCATTAACTTAATTATCATAGAATGATGTATAGTGTACAATAAATCTAACGAGGGTGTCCACAAGAGAACATATTGTACATAGTTAACTCTGCGACAAAATATTACGTTAGTCATTAAAGTAAGGGAGGTAACTCTGGCAGTCTTACGAAGATAAACCAACACTACCTCTAGTCATTTCGATAAGAAAAGATCTACACCATGTATAATACCTTAAAAAGGATCTTGGTAACTTTCAAAGATAAAAATTCTAGTATTCTAGTTTTGAAACAAAGTAGTGAATTTGCGTTCGGTAAATAATAACCCCGTTTTATGGTATATTTCAACCTTATTTGTTGAATGGTATACATCTTGAATTCTCAAATAAACTAATTATGACAGAATAAACAAGCCATGTTACGTAATGTCGAAGATGAACAACTGTAAGTCTAGTATATTTTCACTATATAATGCTAAAATAGTTTGTTTTCTTTCTGTTAGATGCTGGCTGAATCCTATACCATTCTACGGTGCTTTTCTGGCCCCAGTGTTGCTGATTCTCGTCCTCAACACCATCGCATTTGTGTTGGTAACGCGTCAACTGTTTGGAATGTCGTCCAAAAAGATTACCAAGTCGGACAAATCCAGCACTGTATCCCGACTCCGAGGGGCTGTGGGCGTGGTCATCCTTCTTGGTCTGACCTGGGTGTTTGCAATATTTGCTGTCGGTGGCATCGGTGGAATAATTATCCAATATTTGTTTACCATCTTAAATTCACTTCAAGGACTTTTCATCTTCATTTTTTATTGTTTTCTGCACAAAGAGGCAAGGAAGAATTGGGCGAGAACGTTACCTTGTTGTGACGCTTCGGACGAGAAGGGAAGCACACAGACCAGTAAAGGTACGATAAATAGCCCAGTTACCTCCCTTGTATGATCTATAAAACGTTATTTGAGATCTACCAGTAGCTTAGTTATCTCCCTTGTATAATTTATAAAACGTAATTTGAGATCTATATATAGTTCTGATAACATTTTGTTTATTGTATAAAATGTATATATATAGTTATCTCCCTTGTATAATTTATAAAACGTAATTTGAGATCTATATATAGTTCTGATAACCTTTTGTTTATTGTATAAAATGTATTTTAGATCTACCAGTAGGTTAGTTATCTCCCTTGTATAATCTATAAAACGTATTTCTAGGATCGGTATCAGTTTATTTTTGAAGTCACACTAACCAATGAAACTGTTCAGGAATCAATGTTGTTGAGTCGTGAGAGAACGTAGTGAGAACGTGGTAAACAACAGCATTGGCACATACACACGATATACCCCGATGTAATTGAAGACATTTCCCGTCATACCAATATCATTGTACAACTGTAGCAGTGTTGTCACGATCAATCGGGATTCGTCACGATTTCCATCACGTTCTCATCACGTTCAAAATAGAGTACACAAGCTTCACAAGAGCGTAGACGAACATTTCTCGGAACCTATATGACGTTATGTTACACTTTGATTTGAATTTCAACCTTTTGTAAAAAAAAAATATGATGAAAATTATTACAAAAAATAATGGAGGCCATATTTTCATTCCGACATCATTCTTTTGCAATTGTATCGCGGGCTTAATTTGCTTATTACTTTAGAACTTGTAAGTTCTGTATAACATCTCTTGAACATTTTCGTCCTTTTCGCCAATATTTTTAAGATGTACGTTTATCAACAACAGGATATATACAAAACCTATAATCAACGCAGTAAGTAAGTTATGTAACTTACTGCTATCAGATAGAATATTTCATGTTTTCACATCGTTTCAAGAATATTTTGAGAATGAACTTTTCGTTGTGACGTTATGGTGGAAAATGTTCAAAATTTGAAACATGATTCAGTATTTTTGGTAAAAACTTAAACGAAATGGAATTTATCCCATGTAATGGGATGTAACCGTTTTCGGACTCTTTGAGTTCAGAATTCTTCAACCTCTTTTAATTTGTCCTCTTTTTGTAGCAGCTAAATGTATAATTTATGCAATTTTGTCTTGTCTTGAAGAATCTTTGCACAACAAATTTAATGAATCTTCAAAGAATTCATCTATCCTGACGCTAGGTTCAAGTAACCACTTATGTGTCAAGGTTATAAGTCAAAGGTCAAGGTCACGACTTCTGGATGTTAATACTGCTTCGTCTGCGACAATTTGGGACGACTTCTCAACATATTTGAGTGAGACTTTAGTTAATATTGCTTTACATTAAGCTTTTGTTCTGAGTTAATATCAATGCCAAGGGTCAAAGGTCAATGTTATGGGAGTGTTAAGATAATTTTGTCTTGTGTTTATCATTCTTAAAAAAATGTTAATTCAAAACCAGTTTAAAATAAAATCATTCCATACATCAAGTGTTGTGTACATAGCACGAATACATATCGTGTTTATATTATGTTTGCGAATTAAGCCTGTTGTATCAAAATATTTCTGCAACTTGCAGCAGAATTTTCGACTTTAACGTGGCCATGTTTTTTTCTGTCCTGTTAACTGTAGTATATAGACTTTTCATATTTTTCGTTTTAAATAAGCGTGTTGCTTCTTAAATATGGATATATCGTATCGCCGTCTTTCGTTTTGAATATGAAACATTGTCGTTATGAAGGAAATCGATACATTGATTTTGAAATAAAAATCTATACAATTATTTTACAGTAAAACATGGAGGTAATTAATTCTTCAATTTCAGACAGAAACTTTAGTTATTTACATATTCGACTTCTGTTTTCAGGGGAGAAAGGGAAAAAGTACACCCCAGGTATATTGGTCAATATGTGTGGCATGTTCTGTGAAGATACTAAACTCAAATTCATCTTAAAATACTCTGTGCAAGATTTCATTTCTAATTCTTTCACTTGATTAACAACTTTTAAATAGCATTATTATTTTTCCCTATTAGATTGTCTTCTTTCTTTAACTGACCACCGTTAATACTGCTGGGTTTAACTCGTCACATCTTCTTCACTGTTTTGAGTTTTAAGGGAATGTACTTATATTTAATGATTATAACAGGTAAATATTTGATTCACGGATCAAAACAAATGTTTTCTTACAAACAAGTGCTGCGTTATTCAGTAACTAAGGTGTTTGTTTGCAATTCACAGACTAACCGGAAGTGTGCTTTCTTGTCGATTCTGTGATTCTGTTTTGTTTTGCATATCTTTAGTGGAACCTCTATAAAAATACTGTCATTTTAATTTTCAAAGTGTATGGCGAAACATTTGACGCTGTACATAATGTTGTAATATAATTTCTTAGATCAATGGATTTTGTTGTTTATTTTATAGAGGCTCCACTTAAGGTGCGTTTCGGATTTATTCATGAATAAGATGCGTACACAATATTCTGATAAAGTATGTTTATTTTGCACATGCCTTTCATATTTTTTATATGTCTCACGTTTAATGTTGACACAATTTCCTGAAGACATCAAACAATTGGGAAAATCGGGTTGAGCTATAGATAGAACTGTAAAGTTTGTTTTAGAAATGATTAAGACATTGGCGTTTTGAAGTGATAATCTTCAACAAAACTGTATTATTATGTATCAATTCAAAATAACGATTCTTTAAATTAATCTGAAGTAGAATATTCCATTCCAAACGATGTGGAGTGACAAAAAAGTTTAAAATAACTTGAGAAAGAACTCCAGCAAATTTTAAGAAGCAAGATTTTTAAATGATTACGCATGGACTTCAAAAAAAAAATTTTGTTTCGAAACGATGAAAACGTTTGGGCTTCAGTGGAAAAATAGATCAACGTCATATTGCTGAAACTTATCATATTTCATTTGCAAATTCGTGTCCAAAATCTTTAACAGGAACATGATAGCTTCTGTTTAAATATTTGCAAGTTTATCCCATTGCTACAGTTTATATTAATATATATATATCGAGAGGATATTTGATTTTCGATTCCAGCTTTACTTTGCATTTTGGCTACAATAATGCGATGGAACCTCAACGATTCTAGCTTTTGATGTCTTTGAAAATCCTGATAAACTGATTTCTATTGTATTGAATATATATCGATAAAACAGGACCTCAGATCATCTGGGTTCTTTCCTTTTCAATTTTTAAATAACGAACATATCACAAATTCCAAGTTTACAATACAAATTTTGAAAGTATGCAGAATATCTCTACCCACACTGAGACAACCTCTGGCAAACTTATGTTGATAATTTGTGATGGCATTGCATGGAGAACGACGTTACCTGAAAAACTGAAAATACCGCAAAATTATGGTTTAGGTTTTTCAATTAATCCTCCACATTTTGACCCTTAAATTTGTCAAATTGAACCTTTTCTGATTATTTGATCAAAAGTAGTTCTAATTTGTTTTCATACGAGATTTAATGCAAGTGATCTCGAAGTTTAACATTTTGTGTGCCAATGATCGAAAAACATAAACAAACTAAGATTGGTTTCATAAAATCTCATATGAAACGAAACTTGTTTAAGATTCTCTATTATTCTATTCAAAAGTCGTCAATCTATGATATCACATGACCAGGGGTTGTCACTATGTCTGATGTAAAGACTGATTTTTATTATAGTTTACTGTGCCGGTTGAAGTTACCGATATTCTTATGGTTGAGATTCCGTTTGGCGTGGCTTGTGTGTTATCAGTGCTAGCATATGTATACTTTTCTTATCAGGGTACAATTCCAGCAGCTCTCCGTCCTCTAGAAATGGCACTGCCTCCTCTGCTGACTTTTCTGACATAAGTAGGAGTACCAGCCAAAGTGACTTCGGCCCACAATGTAGGTACCTTCTATATAGTAACACGACTGACGTCCCGAAACCTACTACTGAATCTGGTATACGTTTCAAACGAAAATATTGTTCATTAAAAAAAAATTGAAAAGATTTTAGTAATACTTTCAGTTTTGTATGCTTTAAACTAGCAAAGATCCGAGTTTTTTCTGATGGAGGTCTTCTTCAATCATATAGTTTACAGTCGTTTTCATAATTTCCAGAATAGAACATTTCCGCCAAATTTCTGTTGTTCAATGTTTATTTTGGTGTAAACATGAAAATATTTTGACTTTTTTTCAGAGAGAATCTCTATCATGCGCTTTGCATTCCTTATATTAAATAAGAAAATACTCAAATCCTTAAAACGAGTGTATTAGGTCAAGTTGTTTTCCCTTTTATTTCAAGTTTGAATTTCATTCTTTATCAATTTATTTCATCTGTTGAAATATAAATAACGCAGTCTTAGAATAATGAAACAACTTCATGACGCAATTGTGTTTCTTTATTAAACTCACTATGTCGAATTTGAACTAATTTATATTATCATGTGCTCTTTAATTGTTCGTCTTTTCTACAAACTTATGAATTGATAAAAATAATCTTTCCACCAGGTTGAGTTAATTGGAAACTCTCTTTAAGTGTAAGTTTCCTTACCTTTGTCAGCTTTTCAGTTCCCATGGTTTCGGAAAATAACAATCTCGGACAGTAATCCGACATCATTGTAATGTGATGTGTTACTAATTTTAACTTTCTGTAATAAAATAACAAAATATCATCCAACAAAACATATATACATGTACTTACCCCTATAACACCTCATAAACACGTTCAAAAATGTTAATTTAATATCTTGAGTCACGCTATATTGTCATGGTATCATGTATACTTTACACGCACGATTTACACACAATAACAGTTCCCTTAACTTTATATTTTTTATACCTTGTAAAACGATGTTTCGTATACTTGCAGTATTCCTTGTGAGAGCGTATTTCACCATTTGTTTTAGAGAGTCATCATTATACAAATGAAAAAATAGTTTAATCCTTGGATTTCACTTCTATGATTGTTGTAATTTACATATAATTTTGTTTGGGATTCCTGATCTTAATGTAGACATAAAATATTTTCAGACATGTGTATTCCTTCATTAAGCCCAGTAACATCATTATATAGACATATGCATGTTTCCATTATAGTAATTGTTTTCCATTTAAATGTATATCGGAATGATGCGTAGATACGTTATAGTAGCTTGTGCCTCTTGTTGTAAGGTTGACAATTAATATGTTTAAATAATAAAAAAAAAATAGGATAGCATTATGACAGAGATGCTATTTACCTTTATGCTTAGCTTTCAGCTTAATTTCCTAAGCCAAAGGAATAACGCAAAGCTTCAAAATGACGAAGTTAGATTTAATTGACGGGTTTAGTTGGGAATGATTGATGTATTGACAATAAATTTGTTTGTGTTTATCGTGTGTGAAAAAGGTTACAACCGAATAGGATATATGTTATAGGTAAATAAGATCATCACTTTCTTTGCTTTTTAAATACTGTATACCTGAATGTTTTCGCCTTAGGTTAAGTTTGCCCTTGTACAAGCACAAATTCGTCGCATGTTAATTTCGCTCTCTTGGTTATGGGTTCTATATGAGTAACAAGTTTCAGCTCATATCTTTAATTCGCCCTCCCTGTTCATGGACGATAACGGGACGTGAAATTCCCGCTATAAAGTATCAAATTGATGCGAGTAGATTTTAAATAGGAACGGATTAATCAGCTTTGCAGCTTGCGAAAAAAATATTTTACAAAAGATACAACTATGCTTATATGCTTTTGTATTTGTTTCAATGCCTAAAAATGAAATATATCTCACATAGCATATTTCTTTTGAAAGAAACACCGAAAATCAACTGGAACCAGTCAAATGAAGTATTCTATGTATAAATATTTATTCTGAACGTTTTTTAAAATCCTAAAAAGTATTAACGGTGTTCAACACATTTAATCTGTATCATATTCGCCTGTTTAATCCTAACTCTGTATATAGTGAATTATCATTCTTTCTACTCTCTCTGGTTAACGGAGCAACCTACGAAAAAACAGAATTTCATATCAGTGCTACAATATACGTTTCTATGAAATTTGAGAGTATGTGTATATATACTCTATATATACACGTATATTTTCATGCTTGAAGTTTTATTTACAGCAAACATGAAATGTAGTTTTATATTCGTTTATTGTCTGATTACATTTTGATCATATCCATATATTTTAATATATATTTTCATCCTGAAAAAATGAATTTAATAAGTCTTTTACATACATTTGTTGAAGTACACGTCTATATTTATTTAATGACGTATTCAGTCTGGTTGGCGATTAAAACCATTTTGACATACTGAAATCACATTGATATACGCTGTGTTATATTGGCTTGCAATAGAATCGATCGTGTTTATTTCATATACGTGTACAATTAACTCTATAGTGATTGTTTAAGAGTATTGATTTTTACAGGTTATTGATTATATGTATTCGAAATTTGATGTAAGGATCAATATATTGTCCTATTTCATAAACCAAATAAAATAAAACACATATATCAAAGTAAAAATTTAATTTGAACAAACACTTACAAGGAAAAGCAGATTATAAAAATGACAAATTAGCCGACAGTTTTTATTATGTTGCAGTTCCATCGACCGAGCCTACACGAGGAAGATTCCCGTCATATGCTGATTCAACAGTATAAATACTTTTTAATTGCAAGATTCATTTCTATTTTGCTGTCCTTATTTGTGATCTATTGATCCAGTCTGGAATTTTCTATGCACACTACGCTCAAATCCGTACCAACAATCAATTATGAAGCTCCGCTGTTCTGATTTACCACTGCGGTGGTACATGTCGAATTCAATTGCATATTGGTCGGTTACATATTGTGTTCAATGAATTCGACATTAAGATATCTACAGGACAGTGTTCTAGGTGTCTGTCTACAATCTGTTATGTCCCCTTGTAATTTTTCCCTCACCATTTGTATGTCATACCGAAAAGCTGGTATTTTTCGCGGATAAAATTTCGCTTAAAAGGATCAAATTATATTTTAACGAACCAAAATATTGTGATCTGGATGTTAAAGGACATCTTATAAACACGTGTTCCATTATTTAACGTGCTTAATTTTCACGATCACCTTATTGTATAACAATAAAAGAAAATATAAATCCCGCAAAAAATAACAGCTATACGGCATTTAGTGTTGTCTGTTATCGACGATCAATAATTCTTACAGACGTTGTGGGAGAGAAAATAAGTGCGGAGAGAACAGAATATATGAGAGTTGAAAAAGATATTTAGAATTATCTAAGGATATACAGAAAAGTATGTGAACTATTTTAGCTTTGTCATTGTCCTTTCTAAGCGTCATTTTCATGTCAAATATATCATTTTTAACATCCTTTTTATTCAGCCATAATAGGAGGTGTTAAAAAGGTGATTAAAAAGTAACATAATAGATAAGTGTGTGAAATGGATAAATGATTCATTCGGATGGTAGATATGTGTAATATACTAACTGATGAAAGAATGGATGAGAAAGCTATTGAACGTATATATGGATAGGTAGGAAGGAAAGAAATGAATAATGAAAATGAATGAATGAATAAATGAAATGAATGAAGGAAGAAAACGAATTAATTAACAAAGAAATGAATGAATGAGATGGAATGATTGAATGAAATAAGGAAGAAAAGGATGAATGAAGGAAGGAAGGAAGGAGGGAAGGAAGAAATGAAGGCGATACTCCTGTAATAAAGAGACCTATAATATTAATGTTATACATGACGACCTTATTTGTCAAACTTATCTATCTATATTTAATCCTGAGATTTTAACCTACTTTATTTACTTAGTATAAGTGTTGCTTACAAAGAAACATTGTTATTTTTATGTTCATGTGTTCTTCTGTGTCTTTGTCTTCGAACAACAGTAGCAGTGGTACCTCGTTAATATGGAGAGAACATTTTCTAGTACTAAGGTTTTGAATATCATGTACTGTAATTTGTAAAATACAAAAAATAAAATCAATTTTTATCTGATACTTGTAACACTGATAACTCGAGGATCCTGTTTTCATCGAAACTCGAAATATAAACCAGGTAACAACTAAATATTCACTCTTTACCGTATGAAATGGAATACTCGAATAAAGGTAAAATGTTTTCTAAGATCTCAGTCGATTTCGAAATAACGAAGATTGGCTTACAATCAAGAGTAAACACAATTACAGTTCCTTTTTTATAAGTAATCTGCAACATTTTGACGACTTAAAAACAGTTCGCAATACCTTGGACTTGATATGAATCCTTTTTTTAATGTACCTGTCGATGAGATTCTTGCGTGTTTTTGAGACCAGATTTGGTAATATTTGCTTTCTATTATGCAAAATGTAATATGAAGTTTTCTCATATTTTGGTATTCAAAAAATAGATCTAGTATTTCTAAATTATGAATAGTTTGTTAAGAATATTTATTTAAAAAAACTTTTGAAATGTTCAGCTTCCAGATTAACGAGGTTCAATCTAAATGAAAAGGAAAACACTTACATATTTCCATATTGTTCCTTTACATATTTCCGTATTGTTACTTGCTTAATATCGACAATCAGTATTCTTGACACCTCCATGTAAGTTTATTTTTGTATTTTTAAATTCTATATTATGGATGTCATTAAGTTAGATATATATTCATCACGGAACATTTTCTTCGAGTTGGTAATATCAATAAAGTAAAAGTTCTTTTAACACAGTCACTTGTAAATTCTTTCATTAGATAAATGACCAGTGTGAAGCGTAGCAACAGACATATATAGTTGACGAGATGGTCCGACTAATCCACTTTAACAAAATAGTCAAAACGGCTGCAGTATATTGTAAACATCTTATGTATTTTTTTTCTGTAATCTTTTCCCCCATCTCACCACACGATTTCCTGTCTTTGTGTACAAAGAACGTACGTAATTGCTTGAACGCTTCACACTAGGCATTTCATAGAAACGTCACAGTTTAATCTTCAACAGGTTGTGCGGTATGAAATTATATAATGACGATACTCATCTATCACAATCAGGCTTTTATACTGAACTATGAATTGAAGTTTCAATATATATACCAGTTTTAAAGTGTCTTTAAAAAACCGTGATAATGTGTAATCGATATTTGTCGTTTCCTGTCAAAGGGAGAATACTCCAAATGATATAAATTCGTCTGCTGAAAGGCCAAAACGGCATCATGGCGGACGTAATAGTAATAAAGGGGAATTGGAACTCTTCTTCGTGTGAATATAAAAACTACAATGGTACATTCAACCTTAAACGGTAAATGATTTGACATATTTTTACATCCATGCATACTTTAACGACCGTACTGTTAATTTTAGTTAATGTGTTTGAACTTAAACGGACGATATTGAAAACACCTATAAGCAAAATAACGACACGCGTTTTTAAATTAAGATGGATGACTGATACAAATCTTGGTGAAATGAATTCAATTGGCACCATCACAAGTAAAAATTGTAGATACTGATCGCACGTCAGAGAACCAATAAACTAAAGACAGGATGCGATGAATTAGTGCAGGTCACTTGGATCAAAATGTAGGAGTATGCAATGCAAGTGACGTCACATTTTAGTGTCGTGAAACTGTGTCATTCATGTGGCAGAAAGTTCTGTTTTCAAAATCGTCTGTTTTCAGCTATTAGGTTTCTTTGTACATATACATAATTTAAATACCAAAGAACATAGGGATCAGCCTTTATGTAGTGATATAATGTGTAAATATGTTCATTATTTTAAGATAATGAGAGTTGATATGCCTTTTTTATTATGTTATTTTACTTTTTCACCACACATTTTCATTTAAAATATTTCAAAAGTTGAAACTAATGTACTTGTAACAGAATCGTCTGTTTAATCAATACTTACATAAGTTTACAATTTTGCTATTTATAGACATATTGCATGTGACTAACCGCTATCTGTATACACGTGTACAAGTTAGTACCACATAGAAATATGTTGCACTGCAAATGTTTCTGCATTTAATGATTTTTTTTTTGTAGATTTTTGTTTTTTTAATTAGATATGTCTAATATGAGGTCAATGATGATGAATAACAACACATTTGTTTTCCATTTATAAAATATAATTGTACTTTCACAAATACCGAAAGATATCCATTTGGCTAGGAAGCAACAGTTTTTCACCGTCGTATTTCATGGATCAATTCCTATAGTAAGTATCATTAATGTACATATTCTGTCCTGTGTCAGATTTAAATGCCGACCTACATATTTAACATTTTCCCTTCCAACCTCCTCTTAAATATCAACATATTAGGACCTTTGCTTCATTGCCGAGTTCTTGAAGCCGTATGAAGCAGTTTAATTCATTATTTGGGTCTATGGTATCTGTTTTTTATTGAAAAAAAACAGTCCATGAGTCACTTGTAGATTTTGTAATATTTCATGATATTCGAGGCGAGCTTTTATTTTTACCATCACATCAAATAGATTCAGTTTCCACTTTTTTTCCTGTGTTAAGATATTTAGAAGAAAAAAAATGTTTTGGGCAATATCGGAGACGTATTCAAGTTGACTGGGAACTGATTTTAGTTCATCTCTTAACTAAGCCCCAAGCCACACTCTAAAGCCATGTTTAATTTTTCCAAAAAATGCGTGTACCGATGCTGTATCAATGTTAACTCATTTGAATATTACGAAAATGACGCTGGAAAACGGTGAATGAAACCGAACCATGATGACGTCACACTCTACAGGAAGTTATACACATTTTGGTGCTTAAGCTTATGGTAAAAATATTTTGTATTTATTTTTCATTAAATGATTAAATAAGTCGTAAAGGCAATGATTTATGACACATTTGTACATACTCATACATTTATCAGGATTCAGACTTTTAACAACATCCAGTGATGCGGACAAATTAATTTAAATACAGTTTGTTAATGTAATCATTTGAACTGTATACTGAAATGAAATGAACTTTTATACTCACGATTCACACAAAGAGTAACTCTGATTTTTATCCATTTTGTTCAATTATGACAAAAAAACATAACTGTTGCCTCAATTTGCCAAATAGACCATGCAATGCATAATATTTTATATCACATGACTAACCCATGATATATGTATATATGTATATATATATATCACATGACACATGTGTAATGACGATACTGTGACGTCATTAACCTACCATCCGAGTGGAGATTCTTGGTTGGTGGGTTTTGCGATCTCCTTTTGTCCGGCGTCATGCGTCGTAAACTTTTCACATTTTCATCTTCTTCTGAAAAACTCCTAAACTTGTTTAATGAAATTTTACAGAAATCTTCCATGGCTACAGGTGGACGTCAAAATCTTCTTCTCAAACCCCAGATATAATGGAATCAAGTATTCTTCATGGATGGAAAGGCCTTCATATACTTTACCAAAATAGTAAATTTCATAACTTCAGGGTCTCACATTTCCCCCTAGGGAAGGGGGAAAGTTTAGTGTAGTTTAAATGGGAAAATCACATTATTTTCTATTGGAAATAGTTCAAACCTGGTTATAATTATCAGTTTAATGAGATGCACATAATGACCTTGGCTGATGGGCAAGGCCAAAAATGGGTTAAACTGACTGACATTTCAAAGATGTTCCACTGTTTCGGGATGGAAGATTTTA